GCTGTCTAGCTGAAGACATTAAATTTAGTGCTGCATGGGAGGTAGCCCATGGTTTTTTATTTCATTTTGTTTGATTTAAGTTCTATTTTTCTTAGAATTTTGCAGTACTTATTTCTATATTTGTTCTTTCGAAAAAGTGTAGGAGGAGTGTAAGATGAAGTGGAAAATTAAAAACGAGGTTGAGGTGATGTCTTCTGACCTTTATCATTTATGAAAATATTTTTAATGCTTAACTTTGCACATATACATGCTTCAATTGAAAATTATATTTTCTATATATTCTATTTCGATTTTTCTATGTCACTGAGGACAATGTCATTTTTAAGTTGGGGGGTGAAGTATTCATTATTAATTTATATTGTAGTACGATTAAGAACATGTGTTTGCATTTTATTTAATTTTGAACAATAATTAAAAAAATAAAAATAAAAGAAAATTTAGAAAAACTACAACATCTATTTTCTGGTTTTCTGTCAGAAATAAATAGCAGACAAAAAATAGCCCAAAATTTAAAATTATAGAGACCCTTTTCTCACATTTTAATCCCCTAGACATATATTACTGAAATTTGAAATTACAGCTATAAAGAGGATAGTTTTGATTTATTTTTGACAAATTTATTGCTGCTAAAAATAGAACTGAAAATAGAAAACAGAACTATTAAAACTATCTAATTTACAAATTTCTTACATCTTATTGCATGCATGAAAAATTAAATCAATTAGATTGATTGATACCAAAAGATACTAGGAAGATTATTATTGAGTCAAAAGAATGATTTAGTAGCATGAAATGTGAGAATACTCTTTGGATACATGATAGATAACATTGATTTAATTTTACAGATTTTCACTTCATGATCTTGATGGATAGTATTTACTTGATGTGAAAATTTGATTGATCATTTAAGTTTAATAGAGATTTTTGCACCTAGATCTATAGGACTTGTGAGGAGAAATCACTTATTTATATAAAAAAAGAGAAAGTAATATAAAAAATCTAGAAATGAAAAGTACACATAGAGGGTGTGAGACATCATTCTCATTGTCGAAAATTATGCATAGAAAAATACTTGTTGTAAAATAAGTGGATAAAGTGAAAGCTCTGAAAATGAAGAGTACACATGGAGGGTGTGAGACATCATTCTTATTGTCGAAATTTGTCTACAAGAAAAGCTACTTATCCATTATATATATATATATATATATATAAGGAGGAAGAAATATAGTACAAACTTCAAAAATCAAGTCATAGAAAAAGGAAAATATAGGATCAATATTATTCTTGGATGAGCATTGATAATTAGAACATCTTGTAAATACATCTATGAGTGAAGAAGTGATAAAGATGTGAATAGAAGAAGTGAAGTTTAGATTATTATTCCAAAGATATATATATATAAGGAGGAAGAAATATAGTACAAACTTCAAAAATCAAGTCATAGAAAAAGGAAAATATAGGATCAATATTATTCTTGGATGAGCATTGATAATTAGAACATCTTGTAAATACATCTATGAGTGAAGAAGTGATAAAGATGTGAATAGAAGAAGTGAAGTTTAGATTATTATTCCAAAGAGTATTTAAACATTTAAGTGCTTGACATCATTCTTAAATACTTGATATAATAATCCAAAGTGTTTAAAGGTGCATCATTTCTAATTGTATTTTTTTTCTGTATTAAAATATGATGGTTAAGATTTGTAAAATTTTATTTTCGTAATTCTATTGCTAAAGGACTAGCAATGATTTAAGTTGGGAGGTGTGATAAGTCTTCATTATCATGAGTTAATAATTAATAAATAATATAGTTTTAGCTTTAACCCATAATAAATAAACTTATATATATGTTAAAGTGTGAAAAGTGGTTTTCAATTGATTAATGTGAATTTTTAGTAATTATGTGATTTTACATGAATTTATATGATTTTTACAGTCTTACTTTTGAGATAAATGAAGAAAAGGAAATAAAAAATAAAAACAAGACAAAATGAGGGGGAACCGCTAGCTAGTCGAGTCTGCAAGTGGGTTGGAAGCTCAATCGGGGAGTAGCCATGAGTAAAGGCTCAAGCAACTTGGACCAATAGGGACACATGTATGCCACTCCCCTTCCACGTTACCGGTGGCCAACTAGCTGTGGGGCAAGGAGTGGTCGTATATTCGAGAGAAGGGACTTGCTTAGAAATGTAACATTAGTATATATTCACCCAAAAAATTTGCGCACAACCGATGTGGGACTAAACCCGCATCACACCTTCCTCAGAACGGGCGTGCAACCGGCATGCATGGGTTCGAATCCTCCTAGACCCAAAACTCATATTTTTTTATCTGATTATCATGACTTTCTTGCAGATCTTCAATGAAGGATTAAGCAACCAGAATTGCTAGATCATCGGCAAAAATCTCGTCAACACGATTTGCGGAGCATTGTTACTAAAATTACTGAACCATTCACGATAAAAGGATTGCGAATCCATCGAGTAAAGTATCTCCGATTGATTGACGAATAAGTCATTGTCAGGAAGAGGACGATCCACCAGGAGATGACTCGCCACCTCATGAGAGTGTACTAGATGCAATGAAGAGCCTCCTTTTGGTGTGGAGACCTAAGGATGAAGCTCCCTGATATGTGCCCCACCTCTATCCAGCTCCTCTTCGTCAGGTGGCAGCTGCCAGAGAGCCATAAAGTTGCCATTTTTCCGCTCTACTGGGTGACAGTCGTCGGAGACGATTCGACCACCCATTTCATTAATCACTAGACTTTGCAAGGAGATCTAGAGATTGTCCACGCTATCTTTGTCCAAAGAGAGCCTTGGAGGCAGTGGACACTACATAATGATCCTCTCAAATGTTCAAGATTTTGATGTATTGTCGATGCATTGCCATCGCAATGTTAGAACTCTATTTTTCCACTTTCAACTTACTTTACACTTTATTTAGTGATAATTTGTTGATTTTAAATTTACCAAGATATACTCCATTTCATTATGATTCTTCCGACTTTTACAAATCTTAATTTGATCAATTAAATTATTTGTAATCGCTTACGTAAGAATCACTAGACGGAACTTTGTTTCTGCCTGATTTGAGTTTGCCAAGCATTGATGTCATCTTGACGTCTACACCCTTATTTCCTTTTTTTGTGAATTTTAAATATATTTCTTTTTCATTTCTTAGTATAAAATTCATAGAAAATCGTATTTATTGAGAAAAATTCTGAATAATTACCAGATATTATATTATATTTATGTGATTGACTTGGAAAATTATTGCTATTTTTTAGAAGTGTTATTAAATTATAATTGATATATTTTTTCAGAAATACTTCTAAATATTTAAAAAATCGTATTTTCTTATTTTATAAATTTTAGATTTGTGTGATTTAGTATACAATGACTAAGTCACATCAATGCCCTATTAAAGGGAGCATGTTTTATCCTTAGGAGCCTCAAAGGCTTGTATAAAAAGAAATTCCCAACACATTCATAAACCATCAAATTGAGTTCATTTTATTTCCTCTCACACATTTATAATCACTCCTCTCTCCTCTCTTCTTATCTCCTCATCTCTCTATTTTTCTCCTCTTTTCTCTTCTTATTTATCTCTTCTCCTCATCTTTTCTCTTTCTTTACCTTGTATGACATATTCTTTGCTCAAGAACATACTGATCCATGGTGGCACCTCCAAATATAATACATTTCTTTCCCTTGAAATTTTCATGCGGTAGTTATCTCCTATGAATAATTCAATCCATTATTGTACTCAACAGTCATGATTATATGTCTATCCTCAACAGCTCACATTTGTCACCCATAAATATTTTCATTGATGATAAGGAAGTACAAAGGCCAAACTGAAACTCCATGGTGTTAGAAAGAACCAACCAAATGGTTCTTTCATGGTTCATATCCTTTTCACATGGACTTCCTATTGGTTGTTGGTTATCATATCTAAATATATCATCAATATTTTGATGAGATTATACATCATAAACTCCGAGTTAGATTTTATGCCTACACACCAAACTATAGACCTTATATTGTATATCATCATTGATTTGTGAGTATGTGCAATATATCAAAACAAATGTCAATGATTTCGTTGTGATTGATCAACTAATAGATGTCTGGAGTTTTGTCATGATGGTCTTAGTATAATTAAGACAAAGCTAAGAGGCTTCTATTTCTAATAGTACATTCACATAATGTCACTTGTTCTAGAAGATGTCTTTAGATATCTAACGTGACTTAGTCATTGTATAGTAAATCATGCAAATTTAAAATTTATAAAACTAAAAAATATGAATTTTCAGATATTTAGAAGTATTTCTAAACAAATATATCAATTATAATTCAATAAAACTTTTAAAAATAGTGGTAGTTTTCCAAGTTGATTACATAGATGTAATATAATATCAGGTAATTATTTAGAATTTTTCTCAAAGAATACTATTTCTATGAATTGTACACTAGGAAATGAAAATAAAATATATTTAAAATTCACAAAAAAGAAAATAAGAGTGCAGACGTCAAGATGATGTTAGCACCTGACGAATTCAAATTGAGCAAAAATAGAGTTCTGCCTAGTAATTCTTACGTAAGTGATTACAAATGATTTAATTGATCAAATTAAAATCTGTAAAAGCCAAAAAAATCATAATTGAATTAAGTATATCTTAGTAAATTTAAATCACACAAATTATTACTAAATGAACCAAAAAGTAAGTTGAAAATAAGAAAATAGAGTTCCAACATCACGGGAGTAATGCGTCGGTGATGCATCGGAATCCTAAGTGTTCGAGAGGATCACTGTGTAGTGTCCATAGGCTCGAAGGCTCTCCTTAGATAAGGATGATGTGAGCAATCTCTAAATCTCCTTATGAAGTCTAGAGATCAATGAAATGAGTCGTCGAATCATCTTTGGCGGCTATCACCCGGCGGAGCGAAAAAATGACGACTTTGTGACTCTCCGACGGTTGTCACTCAACAGAGAGGAGGTGGATGGAGGTGGGGCTGTGTCAAGAAGCTTCATCCTCAGGTCCACACAACAAGAGGAGGTTCTTCATTACATCCAGTATGCTTTCAGGAGGTGGCCACTCGTCTTCCGACGGATCGTCTTCTTCCTAATGATGACTTGTTTGTTAATCAATCAGAGATGCTTTACTCGATAGATTCGTGATCTTTTTATTGCAAATTATTCAATAATTTTAGTAATAATGCTCCACGAATCACATTGATGAGATTTTTGTTGATGATTCAATGATTATGGTGACTTAATCCTTTACTGGTAATCTGCAGGAAAGTTGTAATAATCAGATAAAAAATATGAGTTTAGTTTTAGGAAGATTCAAACTTGTGTCAGTTGCTCATTTATATGAGAGAGATTGATATAAGTACTCTAATGCTTTTATCAAATGACATCATCATGATATATCTCTATTATAAATAAGGATATTTTAGATATTAAAATCATCAAACCCTTTCTAGGGAAGATGTGACATGGGTTTAATCCTACATTGATTGTGCGTTGAAGTTTTGGACGAATATATAGAATATTACATTTGTAAGTAAGTCCCTTTCTCTCGCATGTACGATTACTCTTTGTTTCACAACTGAAGTGGTGAATATGTGCCCCTATCAGTCCTTGCTACTCAAGCTCTTGCTTATGGCTCCTGCTCGACTGCACTTTTGACTTGCTTGCGGCCCCAGCTAGCTAGTGGGTCCCCTCTCATTTTATTACATTTTTATTTTTATTTTTATTTCTTTATTTATTTCAAAAGTAAGACTATAAAAATCATATAAATTTGTATAAAATCATATAATTACCTAAAAATTCACATTAATCAATTGAAAATCACTTTTCACACTTTAACACAAATATAAGTCTATTTATCATGATTTAAGACTAAAACTATTTTATTTACTAATTATTAACTCATGATAATGAAGACTTATAAATATTTCATTGCAGATTAAATAATAATGACACAAATACTATTTATTGAAGTTTGTTATGCATTTTATTGGTCAATTTTGTCACTATTAATTCATGATGAGAGAGGTTGTTATGAAAGAGGTAAACACTATGATTATGATAGTAGCATTTGAACAAGGAGGTTTTTTAGAGGTTTTTCTTCATAGATCTCTACACACTAGTGACAAAACCAACCTAATGATAGATCGCTTATTACTCACAACTAAAATTTTGCTAATCATTTGGTTGTCTATGTGACTGCTTATTGTTGACTACCTACATCAAATGTAATACCATTGTTAGGTCACTCACCATCATGATATTTAGTTATTGGTGTTAGTCACCACATCACCCTAGACATACTATCTTCTTTGACTTTACAAGTTATATAGGTTTTGATAGACTACAAGTTTGAAATGGAAAGGTTTATCCATTTCCCCCGATCCAAAAGTTTTATTTGTCCTTCATGTTTTCTCTACATAAATAAGGTTCTCTTTGTTTCTTCAATCACTCAAGATTTACTCTATATTATTAATTTATTTTTTATGAAAATACTTTTGTTGAACTTTACTCTTCTCATTATTTATAAATTCAACTAAGATGAAGTTTATTCAACAAAGGATCAAACAATAGATGGTTTTATGAAACCTTGAATCATCTCAAGTTTATCAAAATTTTAGTATTACTTGGGGTTCTCATCAAGGGATGGTGCTGGTGATGATGTAAACACAAAAGAACCCATTAGTCAGGGAAAACAATAAAAAGTAGCCTCTACAAGTTGAGGGGTATGGTGCAACTGTAAAAGAGCCTATCAGGTTAGACCTACCATGATATGAAGTGGACTGTTCACATCAGCCTTTCCTCACTTAATAGAACATTTTCTCTTCTGTTCAATGTATTGTATTAAAAATTTTACTTTAGAGTTTCAACCTCCACGAGTGCTCCTATCCCTCATTTTATTCTAGGTCATCTTGTCATTAAATCTGGGCTATTTTACGGCTCCATTTGGGCTTCTTTTCCTACACTAGCAGTAAGAGGGCCATTACCTTCTATAAGTTCTGCCACTTCTGGTGCTCCACCTGTGCTTCTCCACGATGGTGAGGAAGTGAGGATTCTACACATAAATACCCAACAGCACATCATATTTTTTGAAACCCACCTTCAACAGCCTATTGGAGAAGAAGCTATGCAACTTGATCGCTAGTGCGACCACATCCATGAGATTCATCATCCAGTCAATGGACTTAATAAGCTTGGAGAAAATATATGCACAAATCTAGAACAACATAGACCTCAAACTAGAGAGATCTGACTAGCACATGAGGGCCGTGATTGGCGATGTTCTGAATTATTGTGATTGGGAGGAAGGGTTGTTTTTCTTAACATTGAGATACATATTTATATAAAGTGTAACTTATGGGAGTATCATTAAGGTTAGTCTTTATTAAAGTGATTTATTGAGGATTAAGTGTCTAAGATTAAGGTATCTCAAGTAAGTATGGGTTGAATGTAATATGTGCAGAAAATAAGTCTTAGTTATAATGTATGATGAAAAATATGGAAAAGTACAACAAGAGATAGTAACAACCTCTTGTCTATTTGAGTCATGGTCCTTGGATCCTGTATGGTGAGAGTCACATTTGGAACATCTCATCACTCCAAGAGAGGAAGTTATGATGTGTGTAGCTCCCTTGTGTTGTCCAAAAGATCACAATGTACATTTGAGTCGTAATGGACTTAGATATGTTTATTAATCCCCCTCACATTATGTTCATTACTCTTGACTTCGCATCAGATTCTAAATCTCCATCAAGGGTAACGAATGGGAGGTGCCTCAAGCACAAGGCAGGTCCCTTCTTTAATGCTGCCTTTGCTAACCCTACTTTCAATTTCTTCACCAATAAGGATTCATATCCCTTCACCAACAAGGGTCAACTAATGGATGGCTTTTACGACCCATGTAGTCAAATTCTTCAATCCAAATAGAGAAAGGCAATAGCTTTAAAGTTAATAGATCACTTCTAGGTGGTGCAACTTTCCTTTATCTATTTAATTCCTCTCCAACAAAAATGCAGACCATCCTTGATGTTCTATGTAAAAATTTATGTCTACATCATTGTATCAAGCATTTGTCGTGATTTTTCCTATATTTAATTGACAATGGTATATTTTAAGGGTCAAGTTGTCTACTATGGATGATTATTAGCATGATTATTATTAGTAGAAGTAATTATAAATAGATAAAAAAATATTACTCTCACCAATTGATATTAATACCCATATGACAATTTTAAGAAGGTTGAATTTCAATCGCTCACTTTTAACTTATGTCCTTGATAAATCTTCATTATCATGAGTTAATAATTAGTAAATATAATGAGTTAATAAATATAATAGTTTTAGCATTAACTCATGATAAATAGACTTATATTTATGTTAAAGTGTAAAAAATGGTTTTCAATTGATTAAAGTGAATTTTTAGGTAATTATGTGATTTTATATGAATTTATAATCTTACTTTTGAGATAAATAAAGAAAAAGAAATTAAAATAAAAATATAACAAAATAGAGGGGGACCCACCGATTAGCTAGGCTTGCAAGCAAGTTAGAAGCACAATCAAGGAGGAGCCACGAGTAGGGGCTCAAGTGGCTAGGATCGATAGGGGCATGTGTGCACCACTCCCCTTCCACATTACTAGTGGCTAGCTAGTTGTGGGACAAGGAATGATCATACACACAAGAGAAAGGGACTTGCTTGTAAATGTAATATTACTATATATTCATTTGAAACTTTGGTGCACAAGCGATGTAGTACTAAACTCGCCTCACACCTTCCCTAAAAAAGGTTTGATGATTTTAATACTTAAAATACCCCTTATTTATAATAAAGATATATCATGATGACATCATTTGATAAAGGCATTAGAATACTTATGTCAATCTTTCTTATACAGGTGGGCAACTAGTGTAGGTGTGAATCTTCCTAAAGCCAAAACTCATATTTTTTATCTCATTATTGTGACTTTCTTGCAAATTACTGATGAAGGATTAAACTGTCAGAATCACTAGATTATTGGCGAAAATCTCATCGACGCGATTCGCAGAGTATTGTTACTAAAATTACTGAATGATTCGTGATAAAAGGATCGTGAATCCATCCAATAAAACATCTCTAATTAATTGATGAACAAGTCGTCATCAAGAAGAGGACGATCCATCGGGAGACTAGTGGCCACCTCTTGAGAACATATTGGATGCAATGAAGAGCCTCCTTGATAAGTCTTTATTATCATGAGTTAATAATTAGTAAATAATTTAGTTTTAGCCTTAATTCATGATAAATAGACTTATATTTGTGTTAAAGAATGATTTTTGGTTTTCAATTGATTAACGTGAATTTTTGGGTAATTATGTGATTTTATATGATTTTTACAGTCTTACCTTGAGATAAATGAAGAACAAGAAATAAAAATAAAAAATGTTGCAAAATGAGGGGACTCGTCGGCCAGCCAGGTTAAAAGCACAGTCGGGGAGTAGCCGCGAGCAGGGGCTCGAGCAACTTAGCTTGAACCGATAGGGACACGTGTGCACCACTCCCCTTCCACAACACCAGTGGCCAGCCGGTTGTGGGGCAAGGAGTAGTCGTACATGCGAGAGAAGGGACTTTGCTTACAAAGTTAACATTACTATATTTGCCCGAAAACTCAGCGCACAATCAATGTTGGACTAAACCCGCGTCACACCTTCCTCACAAGCGGGCGACTGGCGCGGGTTCGAATCCTTCCAAAGTCAAAATTCATATATTTTTATTTGATTACCGCGACTTTCCTATAGATCGCTGTTGAAGGATTAAGCAACGAGAATCGCTGGATCATCGGCGAAAATCTCATCAATGCGATTTGCGGGACATTGCTACTAAAATTGCTGAACAATTCACAATAAAAGGATTGCGAATCCATCGAGTAAATCATCTCTGATTGATCGACAAACAAGCCGTCGTCGAGAAGAGGACGATCCGCCAGGAGACCAGTCACCACCTCTTGAGAGCGTACCAGATGCGATGAAGAGCCTCCTCTTGCTGCGCGGACTTGAGGATGAAGCTCTCTGACATGCGCCCCACCTCCATTCAGCTCCTCTCCGTCGGGTGACAGCCGCTGGAGAGCCGCAAAGTCACCGTTTTTCCACTCCGCTGGGTGACAGCCGCCGGAGACGATTCAACGACTCACTTCATTGATCTCTAGACTTCACGAGAAGATCTAGAGATTGCCCACGTTGTCTTTGTCCAAGGAGAGCCTTTGAGGCTGTGGACACTACACGATGATCCTCCCGAATGCTCAGGATTCCGGTGCATCGCCGACGCATTGCCGACGCATCGCCGTCGCGACGCCGGAACTTTGTTTTCCTGCTTTTAATTTAATTTACGCTTCATTTAGTGATACTTTGTGTGATTTTAATTTACCAAACTATACTTCGTTCAATTACAATTCTTCCAGCTTTTACAGATCTTAATTTGATTAATTAAGTCGTCTATGATCGCTTACGTAAGAATTGCCAGGTGGAACTCTATTTCTGCCTGATTCACGTTCGCTGGGCGCTGACATCATCCTGACATCCGCACCCTTATTTATTTTTTTTCGTGAATTTTAAATATATTTCCTTTTTATTTCCTAGTATAAAACTCATAGAAAATCGTATTCATTTAGAAAAATTCTGAATAATTACTAGATATTATATTACATCCTTGTGATTGACCTGGAAAATTACCGATATTTTTGGAATTTTTATTGAAGTATAATTGATATATTTATACTTCTAAATATCCAAAAATTCGTATTTTCTAGTTTTATAAATTTTATATTTGCGTGATTTAATATACAACGACTGAGTCATGTCACTCCTCTTACTGTGTGGACTTGAGGATGAAACTTCCTAACACATGTCCCACCTCTATCCAACTCAACTCTAGTGGGTGACAACTGTTGGAGAGCCGCAAACTCGTTGTTTTTTTCCTCTACTGGGTGACAGCCACCGGAGATGATTCGACAACCTATTTCATTGATCTCTAGACTTCGCAAGGAGATTTAGAGATTACCCATGTCGTCCTTGTCTAAAGAGAGCCTTCGAGGCCATAGACACTACACGACAATCCTCCCGAATACTCAAGATTTTGGTCCATCACCCACGTATTGCCGCCGTGATGTCGGAACTCTATTTTCTTACTTTCAACTTTTTTTCTACTTCATTTAGTGATAATTTGTGTGATTTAAATTTACCAAGATATACTTAATTCAATTACGATTCTTTTGGCTTTTACAAATCTTAATTTGATCAATTAAATCATCTATAATCGCTTACATAAGAATTATCAGGCAGAACTTTATTTTTGTCCAATTTGCATTCACCAGGTGCTAATGTCATCCTAATGTCTACAGCTTTATTTTCTTTTTTTATAAATTTTAAATAGATTTCATTTTTATTTTCTAGTATATAATTCATAAAAAATAATATTTTTTGAGAAAAATTCTAAATAATTACCTGATATATTACATCTATGTGATCGACTTAGAAAATTACCACTAATTTTGAAAGTTTTATTGAATTATAATTGAAATATTTGTCCAGAAATACTTCTAAATATCTGCAAAAATTATATTTTCTAGTTTTATAAATTATAAATTAACATAATTTACTATATAATGACTAAGTCACGTCAATCTTTTTTTCACTATTATTAACTATGGGTTGTATGCTAGGCAACCATCGTTGGAGGAATTGCCCTCATGTGCAGAGCTCGTGTGGGTTTGGAAACACTGGTCACATGCCTATGGGGGACTGCTATCCTTGTCTTGGCCCATAAGCCCACGTGCATTCAGCCCATCTGTGAGCTCGGGCCCATTTGGCATAGTATGCTGTCTCAATGGGCCAAGGCCCAGTGCTGCCAATCTATTGTTGGTATCTCAAATAAAGGCCATTTGATAACTGAATATTATGATTATTATCATGAAAGAAGACTAAATATATTCCTCTAAAATTTATCCTTGCGAGTGATCCTTATAAAATGCCCAGAAATATATTTTTTAAAACGCCTGACATTTAATTACTACCGCTTTAATACACTTGAATATTAATTCGATTGACAAATTAAGCCAATGCAGAATTGGCCGGACCAATCAGCCTAGTAGGTCGTGAGGCCGAGTTAGTAAGACCTTCTGCAGGGTTGACCCAGAATTAAGTGGGACGTGTCCGGACCGCGTCCTCCTTAGCCCCTCTTCTCTCTCTCTCTCTCTCTCTCTCTCTCTCTCTCTCTCTATTGTGGTGGCGATTCTCTCCTCAATAGGCCGCGGGGGGGCAGCTCCCTCTTCCCTTCCCTACTCTGGATATGGAACATCTATTTATAAGCCCCTCAGAGCTACAAAACTTTGCCAGCATTCGCATGGCCGGCTGTGTCAATCTACAATTTCTGAAATAAAGCCCATCGGATAATCAAATACTATTACTAGTATTAGCAGTAAATAGATAATAAAATATTATCCTCAACTATTGATCCTGGAGAGTGGTAGGTAGATACCCAGACATCAATTGATCCTCACTTTAGTGCCATTCTTGATTGGGACGTGTGGTAGCCAATCTGATTCAGGATGATCAAGTGGTTCATTCTAATCTGTATTGGGGTTAGCATGGCCGATCCAATCAATCTTGCTGAACGCTGTCAAGTGGGTTGGATCAGCTATTTTGACTGGCACGATCCTATCATTATTAAGGTGATCTGACCGCTCGATCAGATAACCAGTTTGCAATGGACTAAGCCCCTTAATGATATATATGAACAGGGAGACCCTATTTAAAGATATGCTGATGGAACCCCCATGACATATCTGCCAAGAGGAAGTGGACTTGTGAGGCTCTCCGTGTCTTGCAACAGACCTTCAAAGCGAGTATTTCAATCAAGATCATTGGTTCCCCGAGTATTTTTTTCCCCTAATTATACCTGTTAGTACTTCCAAGGGGCTCACTGGTAAGCCAAAATCTTGATCGTCTAAAGACGAAGGATCTCTCTCTCTCTCTCTCTCTCTCTCTCTCTCTCTCTCTCTCTCTCTCTCTCTCTCTCTCTCTCTATCTATTTCTATCTCTCTATCCCTCAGATTGGTCCATATTTCCGGTGGGCCGAGCATATTCACCATTGAAACCCTATGCTCTATGTTGAAATTCTTATAAGGATCTTTCTTCATTTTCTATGAAGATACTTAAGAATATTGAATTCTCTTGGTGTTTTCCCTCAAAAATATGCCTGTTCCTCCTTTCAACAGTGTCAATGGTAACCCAAAATCCTGAACACCCAAGTGGCATCCTCCCTCTCTTTCTCGCTTTCGGATTGTTGCATCTTGCTGACAGCTCTGCTACTGAATTCCAGCGCCAGTTGTTCTTCCAACATTGCTATCTGAAGAACACCCAAAACATGCCAACGACTGCACCGTCCTTTCTCTCTCTCTCTCTCTCTCTCTCACTTGCTCGCGCTCTTAGTTTGGTTCGTATTTGTGGGGTCGGCTGAGCTTATTATTCGTCCTAGAGACCATAAATTAGTCCATAGCTTTACTTATTATATGCTCACCAGGTATCTTTCTTCGATGTCCATCAGACAGTGGACGAGCCACCCCTTGAAGCAGAGACCATTTTCGAGGGCTATACGCTGAGCTCCGACTCGACTGCCCTGCCGAAGATCAACCGGGTTCCATCCTCTTACTACCCGCCCAGTGACTTCAGCACATCATCCTACATGGGTTCCCCCAAGAACCCTAGGTCCAGGAAGTCCTCGCACTCGGGAGAGCAGCCCTGCCCTCTCCATCCATCCTTCGACACCAATGGGGTCATCCCCCACCACTCTGGGCTCAGCTCTTATCCAGCACTAGATGCTCTCTGGGAGCTGGTTCTTTCTTTCTGTTATTTTTTCTGTTGCTGCAAGCAAGCATTCATCCTTGGAAAAGAAGAAAAGGTGTGAGATTGATTCTCTTCTTCTTTTTCCTTTTCTTTTTCTTCTTCTTCATCATGATCATTTCTCTGGCAGATCTGGTGAGGAAACTGGCTCTTGGCTGCTGTATGTTACGGATTGTGGGAGACGACCGGCCTACTTTACATTACTTAATCGTCTTCTACATGAACCAGCTTTGACCAAATAACCAGCTTAATGAAGGAGCCCCTTTTTTCTAAATGTAGTAAAACGGGGCTAGATCAACATGCATGCAGGCTACTTCCATTGAGATACTCGGATTATTTGCTGGCCCAAGTTCTGTTGATTAGTGTGAAGTTATCACCTCCTCCGCTTAAGGGATCCTGCCATGCAGCTACCGACTGGCTGCATGGGTGTGTGCATGGGTGCACAGCATAGGGCAAAATGACTGGGTGTGTGGCAGAGTGCGACGGTACGTGTATGGGATGGCAGTATATTAAACCAATTAATGAGAATTATTCAACTAAATGTGTATTAAACCTAACTTAGTATATTAGATTCTTACTTTTAATTGATCAATTAAATTCGAATAATTCTAGAACCTTTTTTTAAAAATACGGATCAATATTATTTGAAAAATAATTTCAAAAATCATAAATTGTGGAAAGTACATATTAAAACTATTATTTAATGAGCTTATTAAATTTGAATGCAAAATTATTACCTTATTTTGAGACACATTCTCAATTTTGTTTTAAGGATAACAGTTTCTTACTAGACTCATTTGAATCTATAAGTTTCAAATGTATACATTATTGGTTAACGTGTGTGTACTAGCTTCCCTTAGAGGCTATCCAAACTTAGAGGACATATCAATTTCTACCTGTCTTATGACTTTATTTATGATTTTAATGTTGAGAAGTTGTGTATAGTATGGCAGGATTTAAAATCAAGTTTTTCTATAAATTCAGTCTATTTCTAATACCACCTCTGACCTCCTTAAGATTTGAATTTTGTTTTTGTAGAGAAATAAATACAAATTTGAATGATATCTGATGCTTGGTCAAACGACATGAAGACAACAAGTTGAAAAGTAAGATTCAATTGAAACAAGATCATCCTCAACTTGTCAAAGCGTTAATATTTTCCATGTTTAAATAACTTCCCAAAATGAGGAGGAAAAAAGATTAAGTTCAATGAATTTCTACAAATACTTCAAGTAATTACTATTAATAAGAAATATCTCAAAGTAAAGTTCTTAATTTTTTTGTGAATTTTTTTTTGAGTTAGTCTTCATTTAATCATTGAAGGAGGTTAATCTCTATAATTAACAATGGTTCTCCTAGAGTCAAAAAGCTAAAAGAGAGTTTTAGAATGAAACTATATGAGAGCTGAATGTAGTAATCAGTAGTTGTGTTGCTAAATGATTGGCTTAGCAGAACTCAAGAATGTGGCATATTTTAATGGTGAATATAGCCATAGGATTAAACCACTATAAAATCATCAAGTGGTATTTATTTAGAGTAAGAAATTCATACAATCCTAAAAAGTACATCATTTTTTTAAATAGTTGAGAAGTTATCAATTCAATTCTAGCTTTTGGTCTAAGCACAACTTAAAATCAAACTAGGAAGAGTGGCATGTGCAACACTAATAGGCAAAGAGATAACTACTTAGCAACACATGACAGATGGGCTAACCCTTTGAAGGTGAAGTGTGTTGTGACACTGCCTACTCCACTCTTGGTATAAATAGAAGGGGAATGTAGGATCCACGAAATGAGTAATGGATGTTTTGAATTGTTCCCCAAAATGTATTTCTTAGTGTGAATTAGTAGTGACTTCCAGTTTATGTCTTTGTGCTTAGTAGTCTCTATAGATAGAGATGCATCCTGACATTGAGGAGACGTCTAAGGTCATAGATTGTTGAACATACTATCCATGTAATAGTTTGAGATGCATGCAACACCTTAGGAAAGCAGCCAATGATCTAAAACCTGAGTTTAAGTCAACTTGATGGGCACCTTACCCAATTGTAATAACCATATGAAGGCCAGCCAAGATCTAGCTCAAGGTCAATGAGAACCACATTGGCCATGCAAGGGGGTGAGTTCCATGGCGGACTAAGTCAAGAAATACTGCCATTATTATTTAGATTTAAATCTTAGGTTTCTAATCTATGGAATTAGCGAGGTAAATAAAAATTACAACTAGGGCCTAGTTTAATTTAATCACTTATACAAATAGATGGGGGGAGGAAAATAATTATTGGCTGATGTATGTTATGAACTATACGAGGGAATCCACATGATGTATATTACTAATTGTCTTCTTCTGGATGGATGGAAGAAAGTTGATGGGGGGTCGCTCTCTAATGTTTTCAGTCTTGGTTGGCTACCCATTTCTCTTCTATGAGCGCAAGCTAAGCCAGGTTGGTAAGTGGACCAATCTGTGGGTTTCATTTCTAGCCCCCATCGTGTATCATAAAATTCAGCGTGAACCAGGGTTGACCAAATATCCAATCCACTGAGGGAGCTCTTTTTCTTTTTTTAAACATAGAAAATAGAATAAGGGAGTCAGGTCAACGTGTAGGTAGGCCATTTACACCGAGATACCTGAACTATTTGGCGGGCCATTTAAACAAAGTAGCAGGAACCTACGACCACGTCGACAGCAGGATTTGCTTTATTATTGGTTATTTTTGATTCCTCAATGCTCATAAGTACCTTTAGCCCTAGAACGAGACAGAGAACAATCTGAGGAATTACTTATTCTTCCACCCGCCATCGCCTTCGACCTTCGGGTCATCGCCGACACCGCCTGCCACCATCGTCCGCCCATCACCACCGTCGCCGTCCGTTGCCGCCGTCCACCGCCGTCCACCGCCGTCGCCGCCATCCTTTTCTCCGTCCTCCTCCCCTTTTGCCGTCGCTCGATCCGCCATCTCCGGAAGAGTTCCTCTTCCTTGTCTACCCCGTTAGGGTTCAATCCCGCTGGTTCGTGAACCCGGATGCGTCCGGCCCGAGCGGCCCATTTCTGCCGGGACCAAACCAGCTCGGGAGCCTGGTCCGAGCCAGACCGCCTCGCCGGTCAGAACCGCTTCGGACCGCCTGGTTCTCGCCAGCCCATCTGGCGGTCCGAACCATTCCTGATCGCTTGGTCCGCACTAGACTGCCTGGCTAGTCCGAACCATTATGGACCGCCTGGTTGGTGCCGGCCGACTTCACCTGGTCAGAGCCAGTCCACTCAGTCAACCAGGTGACTGGGTCAAAAGTCAACGTCCAAATGTCAACAACACGGTCAACTTTTTAAAGAGAAGTAGGGTCCAGCTTCTCCAGTTAGTTGCCTCTTTTGGCGACAAGGTCTTCTCTAAAGTCTCTTTCTTTTCATATTTGAACGCTCTATTCTCTTAGCATATTATCTTACAGTCTCGTTGATTTTAGATAAGTCAACTTATAAATATTTACAGCTAGTCCTGAGAATATAGAGAGGACTAACTTGGTTTGCATTTCGAAATTTATTGATAGGTGGAGCACCCGAATCCCTAGTGGTTTCTGAATCGTGTTGATCTAGTTCCTTTCAAATTCTTCAAGAACAGTCAATCCTACCCTAATCATCCCTCCTGTATTTCATGGACTTAATGGGAGAGTCAAGTTTAGACTACTGGCCTAGGGTAGTTTAGTCCTTTCACCATCTTGTCCTACGTCAAGCAACCCAATATGTTGAACTTTAACTTAAGTCAACTTGATGGTATCTAGCTCAATTACGATAAATTATATCGGATTTTGCAGTTTTTTTCCCCGCAATAACTCGACGTGACATGAGCGTGAAAGAGTTTCAAGAATTATGTTTTTCATATGGGCTAAAAATGAACCATTCATTTTTGGCTGAAATTGCACGGTGGCTACCTCAAAGTCAATGGACTCATTTCCACGGTCGACCAAGTCAAACACGGCAACCATGAGTATTAAAAGCACGTATGGGTCCTAGTCTCTGTCTGAAGTCTCGTCTCCACTTTTTCCACCTCTCTGCTCCAGCGGAGCATGGCGGCGCCGCCCATGGCTTCCCTCCATCTGTGCTCTCTCATCCTGATGGTATGTTCTCTCTTCCTCGGCTCCGCAGTAGACGATCCCATCTACAGTCTGTGCAACACGGGGAGAAACTACACCGACAAAAGCACCTTCCAGGACAACCTCGGTCACCTCATCTCCTCCCTCTCCTTGTCGGTCCCCGCTACCGGCTTCGCCAACGGCACAGTTGGGGAGGTCCCCAACAGGGTTTATGGCCTGATGATTTGCCGAGGGGACATCAACGAAAGCAGGTGCCGGGAATGCCTTGCCGGCATCTCCTGGAACGCCGCAACGAAATGCCCCCGAAACAAGGGCGCCACCATCTTCAACGAGCTCTGCCACCTGCGTTACTCCGACCAGAACTTCTTCGGCTCGTCCACGGGGACGGAAATCTCCATGTGGAACACGGGAAACGTCTCGGACGTGCCTACCTTCGACCGCCTACTGGGGGAGCTCTTGGGCAACCTGACCATACGCGCCTCCTCGTCGGAGAGGAGATTCGCCAACGGGTCGGTGGACTTCACCAACTTCGAGAAGGTATACGCGCTTGTCCAGTGCACCAGAGATTTAGCGCCGGAGACCTGCAACACTTGTCTAATGGACGAGATCAGCTATATTCCCCAGTGCTGTGAGGCAAAAAAAGGGGCGAGAGTGATCGGCGGGAGCTGTTACCTCCGGTACGAAGTAGCTCCCTTCTTTAATGCCTCCGCCGCCGCCGACCCGCCAGCGCCTCCTCCTCCCCCTTCCGTACCGGCTAATACGTCTCCGCCGCCCTCTGGGACCCCCGCTGCAGGAGGTAAAAGCTAAGTTTGTTGCTATGTTGCTTCGTCCTTTCACAATTTCCTCATCTAGGACTTTGAGCGAAAGAAACGAGTCAAGGTTCTTTGAGGTTTTTCGGGGTGATCACTCTCATACTGACAGGCTCTGTTCGATCTATTTCTTTACTTCTGCATGATAATTTCTGTTTTTTTAATTTTAAACGGTGCCCAAAAAGCTTCTTTTGCAGTAAAGTAAAAAAAAATAAAGCTAAAAAAATTAAGTGAAGTGAATCATGAACTGTCCATTCTTTCTTTCGCAGATAAAAAGAACAAGAATTTGACAATAGCTGTGGCGATTGCTGTCCCACTCACGGTTTCTTTCGCAATTATGGCTGCCATATGGATTTGCATAAGGAGGAAAAAACTAATTGGTAGGTTACCAACTATTTATGAAATCATTTTATCTGAGAAGTAATCTGACACCAAATTGGTTAGTATATCTAATTGATTGATTTGACATTAAGAATATTTTTTGACTAACTAAATATCTTTACTTATGTTGAGTTTCATCAACATCATGTTCAGCATATGATGAACAATGCAAAGATGGTGCCAATGAAGCTGATTCCTTACTATTTGACTTAGACACTTTAAAGCTTGCTACAATGAACTTCTCCGATCAAAACAAGCTTGGTGAAGGAGGGTTTGGCGTTGTCTACCAGGTAAACTATTTGATTAACAATGATTACTTATTATCAAGTTATTGAGCATGAACCTTATGAGACTGTTAATGCGTCCTACGGAGGTTGTACTTTTTTTTCTCTGTAGACTATCATTACAATCTAAATATCATTTAGGGCATTATCACCTCAGCTATGACCTTATCCTGTAATAAATTTCACTAATCCAAGGTTTCTACATTTCACATTAATTAGCATACATATTTTGTCCAGGGTGTGCTCACAGACAGGCGACTAATAGCAGTGAAGAGACTTGTAACAAGCTCTGCCCAAGGAATAGGAGAACTTAAGAATGAGGTTGCCTTAGTGGCCAAACTCCATCATCGTAATTTGATAAGGTTGATGGGTTATTGCTTGCAAGCTCAAGAGAAGCTATTAGTATACGAATATCTGCCAAATAAAAGCCTTGACAAATTTTTATTTGGTATACTTCTAACTTTGATTCTTTCTATTCTTCAAAATATCATCCCATCAGTTTGATTTATCATTAGCTACTCACTATTTATTTGTCTAATTTTCAGTAATATTAAATCAAATGTAACGTTTCAAGATGTACATAATGTGGATCTAATCTCTTTGTGTTTGGATGGTAGATCCATTTAGATCCAAGGAACTGACTTGGGAAAAGAGGGTGAATATTATTGAAGGAATTGCCCGAGGACTCCTATATCTTCACGAAGATTCTCAACTGAAGATAGTTCACAGAGATCTGAAGGCTAGCAATATATTGTTGGATGCCGGGATGAATCCAAAGATTGCTGATTTCGGTCTCGCAAGGCTATTCGGAAATGAACAAAGTCATGGAAACACAAACCGAATTGCCGGAACATTGTAAGTCTACACAACCAAATTACGAACAACTACCCTGTTATATTTTTTTTTCTGTATTAATTCCATATGAGCTAATGTTTTTAGTACAAGTTTAATGGTTTCCTATGTTTGTATGTATATGTGTGTGTATAAAAATGTCAGCAGATTGAACCCAAGTTAGAGCTAGTTTATGATTAGAAGAGAGAAGTCTTGGAAATGAGCTCAAGTTGGAGTGTATTCTAGATTAGTTAGATATCATAGGGAACTTTCCTTGGTGGTGGTGGCCATAAAACATAAGCGAGAGAAGGATGTGTGAAATGTGTGGTGAACAGTAACATTATGTGTACAAGAGAGCACCTTCCATATGTTGGCATGTAAGGATCTCTCATCATTTCATGCCCACTGGAAATACGTTCATATATCTAGATTTCGGGGCAAGTTTGCAAAATCGTATTAACTTTGTCAAAGATCATGATCAAAGCGCATTAGATAGCTATAAATCAATACAAAACTTGACACACTTTTATTTAATGGTGAAAGTGGCTACATGGCACCAGAGTATGTGATGCATGGGCAGATCTCTACAAAATCAGATGTTTATAGCTTTGGTGTCCTACTTTTGGAAATAGTGACTGGCAGAAGATGCACTGGCTACTATGGCTCTGATCCTCCAACTGACCTCATAAGCTATGTAAGAATGGCCATAACCTTTGAAGCTACGTTCTAGGTATCTACTTTGACACCCCTTTGTGATGAGGTTCTCTATTAATTTACTGTATCTGGCATATTCCTATAGATTTGGCAACATTGGGAGAAAGGAAACCCAGTGAAACTGGTTGACAAAGGCATAACCGATGGTTGTTCAACAGAAGAAGTATTGAGGTACATTCACAGTGGGCTACTTTGCGTCCAACAAGACCCACTGGACCGTCCCAAGATGTCTTTTGTCATTTTGATGCTCAACAGTGACTCGACATCTCTTCCGGCCATATCTCCCTTGTCATGCTTAACCTACAGCAGCACGATTGCTAGTGGGGACCAAGGAATGACCAATAGGCCAATGGATGGGCCCTCTATGACTTGGCCACCAAGAAATGATGTATTGACTATAAAATCAGACAACACCATGTTTGAGTCTTGCTAGACAGTGAGCAATTCCCTTGACGATCTCCTATTTATGCTCCTAATTATTTTAATCAAGAACCTGTAATTATGAAAATTGTGACCAGAACTCTTATAACTTGCAAGAGTCCCAACGCCCTATGAGAGAAACAATACTTTCTTGGACTGATTCTCATCAAAACAAACGGCCCATTTAATGTTGCCCATTTTAAATGGTTCTTTGTGATGGAGCATTAAATACACAATATTTTGATGAAATGATTATAAGACCAATTAACAGATAAAATTATACTTTAATCTTAACATGATATATAATACTATGCATGAATGTTAAAATATTAAAATATTAAAATATTTTAAGATATATCAAAGTATTACTTTAAATGTTAAAATAAGAATTTATTGAACCCAAAATGCTGAATTCACTTGGTTGATTTCACCGTATGAATTATTATATTTTGATACTGCTGTGAAAATTATTAATATTTACATAACGAGACAAAGCAAGAAAATGAGTGATTAGGGCACCAAAATCAAGAAGAATTCATGAAGCAAAAATATGAATATCAAAAATTACTCCATCTATTATGTACCCATGATAGCACACCATTATCTTTTAACGATTATGACATTGAATTAATTGGAGGAATTCAAATCATTCAGACAAAGTTTTCTTAATATACTGATTATAACTTAGAAAATATTTTTAAATATAATGAATCATTCAAAAAATGGTTACATACTGAAATAGTGATCCAAAGTTTTCATATGGTTTTTTTAATTGGAAAAAAAATTATATTACAATTTTATCTCAATATCTATTATAGTTCTGATATAACACTATTCAAAGCATATTAAACCTGACATGCACTGAATATTATCGGTTACTTTAACTAAGCCCTGTATTGGCTACACATGAATATATTCGAGTCCTTTAAAGATATCATATTGATTACTAAGTCGTTCAATTTTTTGCTTATTTTTGGTAAAATAAACTTTGGGAGATTGTGAAAATCTAGGAAGACCTTCAAACCTGATTTCTCTGTAAATACTAAATATTTTCAATGGGTGATTAGTTTAGAGAAATCATCTCAATTTCTTCTATGACCTCAAGTGAGTTATTTTATGGAAAGTCTTGAGCAAAATATAAAGGTACTACTATTATTTTATGGAAAGTCCTCATTTGAGTTATTTTAGGTTCACTAAGTCAATGAAATGATGAGTTATCATCTAGCATTCAAGATTTCTCCTTAAGTAGATTCAAGCAGATACAGCATGTGCATTTTATTAGTATCATCTTGAGAAGAAGACAACAAAAACTTAAGTCTCAAATAGCATCCTCTTCATCAAAATTTTCAAACACTTCTCAAGGCAATACAATATGTGAGAAACATCTCATGGTGAAATTATTTCTTATTATTTGTGAGATAAATTTGTGTTTAATATTCTTTAGTTACTTGAATTTATTGATATGCTGTTGGTTTCATGTAGTCCTGAATCTAGAAGAAACTTTTAGAGAAAAATTATGAAGGAGCTGAACTCATAAATCAACAACTTAGATTGAAATGCTTAATCGAGCAGAATCCAAGAATAAGGTTATTCTTGGAGAGTGGACATAGGTGGATGATAAAATCACTTAAAACATCTACAAGCCTCTCACTGATAAATCTAGGAAAATCATTGCTGACTTAGGATTGGAAGAAGATGGTTTAATATGTCATCTTTAGGGACCTTTGAGACTCATAAAGGGAAACACAAACAACTTTGTAAACCATCAAATCGAGTTCATTTTATTTTCTCTCTCCTCTAATCTCTCTCCTATCTTCTCTTCCTCTCTCTTCTCTCTTTTTATATTGTATTACTGCTTCCCTACTCAATAACATGATTATTCATAGCAGCGTCTCCGAATGTGATCACGATTTTGACGCTTTGTCCTTGTCTTCCATGGTGGGAAGATTCAATGGAGGAGATTCTGAGAATCTGATGGCTCGCCACCATTGTCATACATTTCCTTCCCCTGAATTTGTCCTTGGACAACTATCTCTTGTAGTGAACTCAATTAATTCCCCCACTCAAGATCCATGGTTATGTGTCCATGTTCAATGGCTCAACTCCATTACAGCCAAATACTTTCATTGATGAGATAGAAGTACATTGGCCAAACTTAGATTCCATTGCTTGGGAAAGAGAACCAACCAAATGGTTCTTTCATGACTCATATCATCTTTTAAAGGGCCCTTCGTCCCATTGGTGGTTGGTTAAAATCAAACTTTGTTTGGGATGCTTTGGTTAGAACCTTTACATCTATCTTCGACTCTTAGAATATGTAGCAACGCATCAAACTACATGTCTGACGTCACATGATTCATGCATGAGAATGTACAATGTATCAAACCAGTTGTTGATGAACTCACCATGATTGACGAACCGATGGCCAGCTATTATGATCTTTTGAAGTAGTTCTAATAAAATTGGGACCAAGTATGAGACCTTCATCTCTAGTATTACCACTCATATAAAGTCACTAAATCTGGAAGATGCCCTTATATATCTTATTGCACATGAGACAATCAAGGCACAATTATAATATTTTGAGCATCATTAGGTCAAAGTTGCCACTACAAATCATTATGAGAGTGGAGGTTGTGTGGGGATGAACATCATGGGCGTGATAGTGCAAGGCAGTACAAACCATGTTGTCAGATCTATCTTTGGTCCCAAATTTGCAACATAGATCTATGAATGTCAGTGACGTAATCAGATCTACAGTTAATTGCTTACCACTCACATCTCCCCATATACAACTCATCCAACTATTTATGTGACCACTAGTAGCTTTTTACCCACATTGAATTCAATACATTTGTCAAGGCATTGAGCATTGTCGTATCCTGATAATGACATTACTTGCTACATTACCTTGGTTATAAAATATCACTTTGGTTGCTCTTCTCACTTTAAATATTTATAAATTGTATTCAAAATAAGAATTAAAGTTGAATTTTGGAGAATCTAAGTCCCCACATCGATGATAGTTCATATCAGTATCAATTTTTGTTCCAAATAAGTTATTAAAATAAAAAAAATAAAAACAAAATCTCCACATTTTAACGTCCTTTAATGCTCAATGATGTTGTAACCAAGTTTTAAGATTTGAATCTTCTAGCTTTGATGTGTGCCTATGTTAAGAATTGATTCAAGACTATCCTTGCACAGTTATTCAACAAAAGTGGCGGAGGAAATAGCAAACATAAGTAATAATAAAGGACAAAAAATAGGAGTGGGGAGAGAAGGTACGACCACTGGCGAGGAGATCATGCTGAGGATAAAATAGAAAAACGATTTAAGTTGAATTCGTATAAAAAATTAATAATGTTTCCAAATAAATAGACGAAGATTATAATATAACTCCTAAAAATAAAACTAAAACACTAATTATTCATTAACAGAGTTCCTTTGGCAGTAGCCAAATGGGAAAATAATTTCAATTTGAATCCTTCTAAAAATCGAGTAATCTATAAAACCAAAGTGGATTTGAATGATCTTAATCATGTTAAATTTCCCCAGGAAAATTTAAATCAGCTTGTGTACCACCAAGAATGAGTATTGTTGAGGTACAAAAGTTGAATGAAAAGTCGATTGAAAATGATAAAAAGAATGATTAAAAAAATTAATCTTGTCATCTTCTGTCAGTCAAAAGATAGATTAAGAAAAAGAAAAAAAGAAAAAAAAGAAAATCGAATTTCTAAGCACCTCTTGTTGCTTTGCTCACCAGTCAGCCAAATACAAAGTACTGGAAAATGAACGTGAAATCGAATATTCTCAATTGCATGTTAAAACACAGAAAAAAATATGAGTGAAACATCTTCTATTGGTACGAAGGTGTATATAGCTTATCAGGAAGCAACTGTATCAAATTAACATGTTGAACCAACGTGTTAATGGAGTAAAATTGTCACCCCCTTGATCATGGTATTGCTTACTTGAAAATCTGGAAGCTCAACTAATTTTCTAACATACACATTCCTGCTCTTGTGTGATATGATTAACTAAAATCCAAAGGGAACCATAATTCCTAGATGAGTACATGAATTTAAAATATCGGCAATAGATAGGGTCTCTTATGTTGTTGGCCCCATAGATAGTACTGGTGGCATATAAAGTAGAAGTGATTCCAAGTCAAGCTTGGATAAGTTTGGCAACTTCATTTTCAGAGAAAGAGGACAACACTTGAGAGGTGGTTAGCAGAATTTCAGCTGTGCGGATGCTCTTTTCTGGCATTAATCGATATGATATGATCTGTCTACATATAAGAATATTACTACGAAAAAAATATTAAGCTTTACTATTTTTTTCATTGTTTATTTTTTTGAAGGCAATAAAATTCGATATTTCAATAAGAGATCAGTGAAACTTCAGATGAAAATTATGTAGCATTAATGGGTCATATTAAGCAAGAACCGCCACCTAGCCTGAACCAAATGTGAATTCAATTTATTTTGCCCAGCCAGATGTTTGAGATGTCATGCATAAAAAACTGCAAAAAGATGACCCTTGGCATGATTGAGTTATTGACATGTACCATTTTTGTATCTTTTGTGTACTTTGGAAGGACCAATTGGTGCAAGTGATGGAGAGGAAAATGCTTCCGTTGGTTCTTCACCATCTGACTTCGCAACACTAAGGTCTCCTATGAACTTTTCTAATCAGAATTGTCTTCGTGAAGGAGCTTTTGTTGTTTCCTCTAACGTATCTCCAGCTGAATTAAAAATAATATATTCAAGGTAGCAGTGAACCGACTTTCTTTACTTGCGAATGCTTTTGGTCATTAAAATGTGGGCTGTGGGTGTCCCTTGTGCAGACGGGTGGCCAAATGGTCAACAGGATGGTTGTGTAGGGTCTATCGAGAAATTCCAGACAGGGGATTCAACAATTGACGCACGAAGTTCATCTGGTCCCCAAATTCCTGCACCCCAATCTAGTAAGACTGATGGGATGTTGCCTGCAGGAGGAAGAGGAGCTGTTAGTGTATGATTACCCGCCAAATAAAAGGCCTGACCGATTCCTTTTTTTGGTCTGCTTCTATCTCCTTATTTCTCTAAATCTTTTTCTGGTATCTTTCAGTTCCATTTTGGTTTTGCTCATCCAAATGGCACCCTCCACCAACTTGGTCACCTTTTACGAGCCTCGAGTGATACGAAAATGGTTTTCAAGGCTTTTATCATGCGGATTCGTTATTTCCATGTTTTTACGCAAGATCTTGTTAAATCGAAAGAACTGAATGGGGAAGATAACAGAAAGAGTCCCCTGGGATCTCCTTTATTCCACGAGTATTCTCGTCTGAAAATTATTCACAGCGACTTGGAAGCTGTCAACATCTTTATGGACGATAGCATCAATCCCCTTTCAGGTAAAGATCCCCCATTAAGATGGCCTCATTGTGTGTGCACACGAACACAAGTGGTTGACTTGAACGAGGGGAGTGTGCTGCAAAGTGTTAGAGAGAGGCTTGGCCAACTGTTCTTCAGATTATTAAGTGTTGAAGCGTGTCTACATTGTGCTTCCGTGAGCACGAAGTGACGCAAAAGGGCGACCAAATGTGTCGTCGGTCGTCCTCATGCTCAGCGGCAACTCAGCCTAGCTGCCCATTCATTTCTGCGGCGATCATGTCCTCACAGGAGCAATTTATTTCATATAGAATCCAACCGCATACCATGGTTTCTCCTCGATGCATCCACATTATCTCCTCCTTTATTCTATGCGGGCCTGAAGGGCAGACCAAACCTTCTCAAGGTTTGGCAAGTGAGTGCACGACTTGGAGTCTACAACTGCGGCTAGTGACCCATACGGTGCCTTCTTCTCTCCTGATTTAAAGCCAGCCATTCTTTTTACGGCTGGAAGAGATTCCCATTTACGTTGTGGACATGGAAGACTGATGCAGTACGATCCAGCTCCCCATCACTTGAAGAAGGAGAAGCCATTCAAAACAGAGAACTGGAGACACGCGACGTGGGGGATGTGGATCTCACTGAGGAATCAACCGTCTGTGCGCTCACGTCATTTAGGAGCCGTTTTTCTTTACATCTTGCTGTTTCAATTACTAATTGAGACCATAAATTGGCCGGAAGACCTCTATTTGGGACAATGCATTTTAAAGTTAAAGCGTAGCTTGCTTATCAGATCATTTGATCCCGTCGCCCCGGCTTGGGTTGGTCGGAGAACCCCGCCACTCCCAGTCTGGAGTTTCTCCTTCCATCTCTTTGATGTCGGCTTGTCCTCACTTTCGCCGTACTCACAGCAGCCTCCTGCCATCCTTGTAGGCTGCCACCGTTCCCCCGTCCACTCGCCGCTGCCATCGAGCCACTTCACTGATTGCCAAGACACTTCGTCAACAGTCAACACAACTGGCCAATAGTCAACCCTATCATCCAAGGCTCAAGGCTTTAGTATATTTTCCTCACTTTCTCTACTTCATTTGTTTATTTAATATATTCTTGCTACAGTTACCTGAGAGACCACAGGATAGCCACCTTATGTGTTCGGATGACATGTTAATATTAATGTGCTGAAGTCAGCTATGACGATGTGCTGAAGAAGTCACTGGGGGGTAGTAGAAGGATGATGGGACCCGGCTGATCTTCAGCAGGCCAGTCGGGACGGAGATTAGGCTGATAGCCCTTTGCGTTGTTCCTGTTTCAAGGGGTAGCTCGTCGAGTGTCTGATGAACATCAAAGAAAGTTGGTTGGTGAGCATATAACACGCTATACTATGAATTAATTTAGGATCTACAAGCTGACTGATAAGCTCAGCCCACCCCCCTACCCCTTCCAATATAAACCAAACAGAGCGAGCGAGGAGCGAAAGAGAGAGAGAGAGAGAGAGAGGATGGAGATCTACTGGGAGAAGAAAGCTCTTCAATCCAAGCTTGGAGGAGGACCCGAAAAGCTGCCCACCGATAGCCAGGACCGGAGGAGGAGATGGTCTGAGTGAGAAAGGGGATGCAAACCAGAGGGACCAGACAAGGCCCTTAGACGTCGGCCTCCCACTCCCGAGCCTCGATTAAAGACCCGCTATCGTCAATCATGGGAGAGATTCAGAGAAGAGGAAAGAACACACAGCAAGCCCCACCCTTCCCCCCACCCCCTTTCTAACCTCGCTATTGACAGAAAGGTGCCTCTGGACTATACCTGCGAGGACTAGTCCCCTCCACCTCTCAGGTTATTCCTGCCCCAAACGCGAGCTCTGCTGGTGTAGCGAAGGTGACAACACCTTCTGAGGGCGGAGTTGGGGCTGCTGGAGGCGCTCGCACGTGCTCTAGGTTCTGGCAGGAGGAGGGGCTTCTCCTTCCAATCGAATCCAAGGGAGATCTGGAGGGCCGAACAAGTGCCTGCCACGGGGCGGAAGACGGGCATCTGGGTGAGCTCCTGTCCGTAGCTTCAAGAACGGGTCTTCTCTAGCATTAAACAATACCCTTGATTGATTAAGCTCAGCTATCCTAAGATAAACCCAATTCAGTCCCAAACACCACTCTAGGGACTTAGTAAACATAGCTGATCCAACCCACTTGGCAGCATTCAGCAAGAGTGATTGGATTGGCCATGTTGACCCTAATACAGATAGGAATGGGCTACTTGATCATCCTGAATCAGATCGGCTACCACACATCCCAATCTTTCATTATCAATTTACTATTGATAATAATAATAATAATATTTCAGGATCAAAATGGGCCTTATTGGAGAGCCCAATTGGAGATTGAGAAAGCCGGGCCTTGGGGATACTGACCGAGCTTATGTGGGTTTCTGGGCTGGAACAAGGAAGTCAAACTGGCCGCTCATAAATAATCTTTGGGCTGCATAACCGTCGACCCCTGGCACGTGATCGAGCAAAGTTTAGGAGTTCCGAGGGGCATATTAATAAATGCCCCATCACCGAGGTGGCCGGAGTAGGAAGGAGAAAAGGGAGCTGCAACTGCCGCCACGTTGACTGGTAACGTCGCCGGTTGGGTCGGCGGACGGAGGAGAGAGAATCGCCGCTACAACACAGAGTCAACCCAGCCGAAGCTCTGGCTAACCCGGGCTTCTTTCACCCTATTTTCTTCCCTTATCTTAATCTTACTTTCATTTAAAACTGTTATTGTATTTGTTTTTATTCGTCCTTTGCCGTTTCTATTCATCAAAGATCGTGATTTTTCTCATGTCGGCAATAAACCTTCTATCAGGCCCGAGTTGTTCCTTCTTCTGGTGATTTTCTCCATTTTCTACAGTGTTTTTCCTTTCTATGTCCTGTCCAATCTCTTCCCTAGTTCTTACCTTTTGGTTTTCAAACCATTCCGCATTTTTTATTTTTCTCTTGCCAACTATCCCGTTTTCGCTCGCAGTTCTGGTGTTAAGCTTCTCTCTTCTTTATCATTCTTTTCCTTTTTTTCCAATTTTTTTTTCACTCCTCCCGTGTCTTTCCCTTCTTTATCTCCCCCTTTGAATCATTTTTCATTTGTTTTCTTGACAATCTTCTTCTTCCCTTTTGTTGGCTCTCTCTCCTACCAGCGGAACCTCCATTCCGTGAACAAGAACTCTCTCGCAGTCGTAATTTTTCCTTTTTATTTATTTATCTCTTCCTCTCTCTCTCTCACTTGTCACTACTGACTATTTATCTCTTCCACCCTTTGACCGGTGAGTTCTTTCCTTTTTCCCGTCACACTATTCTCTCTCCTATCGCCCCGCTTTACTCTCTCCTATTATCCTCTCTCTCTCTGCTATCGCCCATCTCTCTCTCCTAACGCCATGTCTATCTCCTATTGCCTTATTTGTCTCTCTCATATCGTCCTCTCTGTCTCTTACTCTCCCGTCCGTCCTCATTTTCTCTTCTCTCTCCGACACAAAAGATCCTCTTTGCAGTGCTCTCTCTTTCTCTCTCTCTTTCTCTCTCTATGATTGGTCATTATTTCTGTGGGCGGAGCATATTCACTATTGAAAACCTTTGATATATGTTATAATACCTATAAACTCCAAGGCTCTTTCCATCAAATTTACTTAAGAATATTGAATTCCCTTGGTGTTTCCCTCCAAATTATTCCCGTCCTTCTTCCAACAGTGTCAATGATAACCCATAATCCTGAAGACCTAACTGACATTCCCCCTTTCTCTCTCTCTCTCGCTCTCGGATTAGTGCATATTGATGACAACTCTGTATCTGAGTTCCAGCGCCTGCTTTCCTTCCAACATTGCTATCAGAAGAACACTCAGAGCATGGCAGTGACGGCATCGCCTCTCTCTCTCTCTGTCAGTGTCTCTCTGTCTCTCTCTGTCGCTCGCTCTCGGATTGGTGCATATTGCGGACAGCTCTGTATCTGAATTCCAGCACCGGTTTTCCTTGCAACGTGGTTATCTGAAGAACACTCAAAGCATGCCAGTGACGGCATCGCCTCTCTCTTTCTGTGTTTAGCTAATATTGTGTGGCGGGGGGAGGGGGTCGGGGCTGAGCTTATTATTCGCAATAGAGACTATAGTTTGTATTTTTGTTTTTGTCTTCTTTTCGCTCTTGTTCCTGTTCTTCTCCTTCTTGTTCTTGTTCTTGTTCTTGTTCTTGTTCCTCTCCTTCGTCTTGTTCTTGTTCTTGTTCCTCTTCTTCGTCATCATCATCATCGTCGTCATCGTCATTATCATCTTAATTTATTTGACAAATCGGATAAGGAAACTGGTTCTTGGCTGCTACGTTTTTACGAATGGGAGAGGACCCATCAACTTTATATTAATTAGACGTCCTTTTCTTGATGGATGGAATGAACTTGCTGTCTGGGTTCCTCTATAATAAGCTATCTTGAATGAACCACGTTAAGGTCAACCGGGTTGGTTGGTGGGACAAAATGAAAAGTTTTTTTTAACCGCCATTGTGAATCATAAATTCAGAATGAACCAGCGTTGACAAAATATCCAACGCAATGCGCAAGTCATTTGTCGGCCCAAGTTACGTCGCTTAGGATAATATCGGCACGCGTGAGCCGAATAAACCAAGGACGTTATCATATAGAACCTGAACTCGATGGGCATCTGGCTCAGTTACAGAAACGGCACACCGGCTGCACAAAGTCAACGGGAACCGTGTGGGCCATGCGGAGGGCTCGGTTCGGTGGCGGACTAAGGCAGACAATACGACCATTAATATTAAAATATAAAGATGTCGTTTTCAATGGCCCTGCGTCTCTGTCTTATGATATGTCTCGTCTCAATTTAGTCATTCACCCTCCATTTTCTTTCCACTTCTCTCTTCTCTGGCGGAGCACGGCGCTCCGCCCATGGCTTCCCTCCTCCTTTGCTCACTCATGTTGACGATGGTCTCTCTCTTCCTCGGCTCCGCTGCCGACGCTCCCATCTGCATTCTATGCAACAGGAACAGAAATTACACCAGCAATAGCACCTACCAGAGCAGCCTTGGTCGCCTCATCTCTTCCCTCTCTTCATCCGCCCCAGCCACCGGCTTCGCCAACGGCACAGCCGGAGAGGTTCCCGACAGGGTTTATGGCCTCGCGATATGCCGAGGGGACGTCAGTCCAACCAGGTGCGCGGAATGCTTCGCTAGCGTCGCACGGGACGCCGCAGCGGGATGTCCTGGAAACAAGGGCGCCACCATCTTCTACGACTTATGCCACCTACTTTACTCCGATCAGGACTTCTTCGGCTCGTACAAAGCGTCGGAATTCTTCTTCTGGAACACGCGAAATGCCTCAGACGTGCCCACCTTCAACCGCCTCCTGGGGGGACTCCTGAGCAACCTTACCATACTCGCCGCCCCGTCGGAGAGGAGATTCTCCGCGGGGTCGGTGGACTTCACCAACTTTGAGAAGATATACGGACTTGTCCAGTGCACCAGAGATTTAACGGCGGAGAGCTGCGACGCCTGTCTGAGAAGCGAGATCAGCGATATTCCCTGGTGCTGTGACGGAAGAAAGGGGGCGAGGGTGCTCGGCGGAAGCTGCCACCTCCGGTACGAAATGTCTCCCTTCTTTAATGTCTCCGCCGCCGCCGACCCCCAGCCGCCTCGTCTCCCTCCGGTACCGGCTAATACGTCTATGCCGCCCGCCAGGACCCCTGCTGCAGGAGGTAAAGTCTAAGTTTGTTGCATCTTTCTGTCGTTTCTCCATTTCTTCATCTATGACTATCAAAGAAACTTCAGAGAGTAGTAACTTGGACATGACCTCGGCTGGGGGGGAACGAGGTACGCGAGACTGTGAAGGACTCATAGCCCCAGGTTTCTTCTTAATTTTAAACTAGCCGCCGCTGCTTGGAACGGGGATGGCGGTTCGGAATGCAGGAAGGGCAGTCTTTTTCGGGGGTAACCAAATTTAAGTAGCGATTCTGTTTTTCTTTTATGGAGTAATAGAAATGAGCAAAGGTTCATTGCTGTTTTGGGTGTCATCACACTCATAGTGACAGACTCCGATCTATCTATTTCTTTACATCCACATGGTACTTCAATTTTTTATTTTTACACAGTACAATTTTTTTTTACAGTCAAGTTAAACAATAAATATATTCGAAGTGGATCATGGAACGTGCATGCATTCTTTTGCAGATAAAAAAAACAACACTCTGCCGATAGTTGTGGGAATTGTCGCCGCCCTACTTGTTTCTTCAGCATTTATGGCTATCCTGTGGATATTGCACACGAGGAAAAGACAGACAGAACTACTTGGTAAGTTGTCAACCATTTATTCCACCATTTTATAACACCAAATGGGTTAATATCTAAATGGTTTAATTTGAAATTTGAAATATTTTTTCCACTGAATATACATTTTGATATATGTTGAACTTTTTTTTCATCAATGTTATGCTCAGTGGCTGGAAGAAGTGAAAATGGTGTCAATCAAGCTGATTCCCTACAATTTGATTTAGAAACCTTGAAGCTTGCTACAATGAACTTCTCAGATCAAAATAAGCTTGGTGAAGGAGGGTTTGGTGTCGTTTACAAAGTAAACTACTAAATTAAATTTGATTACTTATTGTCTTCTAAATGGAACTAAAAATACAATTTAAATAGTTACACTTTTGTTTTCCTTAGGCTATCATGGAAATTTAGTTCAAATCTAGGGTCTATCTGCTGTCATTTTTTATTAATTATTATTCATATCATTTGTGTAGGGTGTGTTGTCAGATGGACAATTAATAGCAGTGAAGAGACTTGTAACAAACTCTGGCCAAGGAATAGGAGAACTTACGAATGAAGTTTCCTTAGTGGCCAAACTCCAACATCGTAATTTGGTAAGATTGATGGGTTATTGCTTGCAAGCGGAAGAGAAACTATTAGTATACGAATTTCTGCCAAACAAGAGCCTTGACAAATTTTTATTTGGTATGCATCTAACCCGTGGTTCTTTCTATTGTTCCAAATATCATTGCATGAGTTTGATTTACCATTAGCTAATGTCTGTTTATTTAGTTTATTTTCACGAATCTTACATCAAATATTTGCGTTTCAAGACGCATATAATGTGGATCTAATCAGATTGTGTCTGAGTGGTAGATCCATTTAAATCCATGGAACTCACCTGGGAGAAGAGGGTGAAGATCATAGAAGGAATTGCCCGTGGACTCCTCTATCTTCATGAGGATTCTCGACTGAAGATTATTCATAGAGATCTTAAAGCAAGTAACATTTTGTTGGATGAAGGAATGAATCCTAAGATTGCTGATTTTGGTCTCGCAAGGCTATTTGGAAACGAACAAAGTTATGGAAACACAAATCGAATTGCTGGAACATTGTAAGTCTGCTCAACCAATATACGAAGAAAGTATTTCTTATTTAATATTTTTGGTAAAAAATCAATAATTTTAATGTTTTCTTGTAAATATAAATATATACAATTATCAGCAGATTGACCCCAATTAGAGTTAGTCCTTGATTAGACGAGAAGTCTAGAAAATGAGCTTAGGTTGGATTGTATACTAGATTAGTAATATATCAGAGAGAGATTCTATTGCTTGTGGTAACTATAAAACAGAAGCGAGAGAAGCTCATCTGCAAAGTGTTATGCAGAGGAGTAATATTATGAGTACAAGAGAGTGACTTTTATATGTATTCATGTAAAAATATTTCATGCATTTCAGAACCACTGACAGAACCATCATGGATGTAGGTTCATATCAGTAAGTAAAATCATATTTAATTTGTCAAAGGATATGATCACTGTGCAAGAGATAAGTATAAGTCATCAAAAAAGTTAACACACGTTTATCTACTGGTGAAAGTGGCTACATGGCACCAGAATATGTCATGAAAGGGCAGATCTCTACAAAATCAGATGTGTACAGCTTCGGCGTCCTACTTTTGGAAATAGTGACGGGCAGAAAGTGTGTCAGCATCTATGGCTCTAATCCTCCAACGGACCTTATCACCTTTGTAAGAATACTCATAACCATTGAAGCTTCGTTCTGCATATCTTCCTTGAATCCCTCTTGCGTTGTACTTCCTGATATTTTTTACTTCATCTGGCATACTTCTATAGATTTGGCGGCGTTGGGATGGAGGAAACCCGATACAAGTGCTTGACAAAGCCATAGTTGGTGGTTGTTCGACGGAAGAAGTGTTGAGGCGCATTCACATTGGATTACTTTGCGTCCAACCTGACCCACTGGAGCGTCCCAGTATGTCCTTTGTGGTCCTGATGCTCAGCAGCCACTCGACATCTCTCCCGAAAGTAGTCCCCCTTTCAAGCTTTACTGGGATGAATACGAGCACCAGTGGGGACACCAGAGTGACCAGTACGCCAATTGACAGGCCCTCCCATTCCTTGGCCCCCAAAAAATGACGCACCGGCTATCAAATCAGACAGCACCACATTGGATCCTCACCAGTATCCTTGTCAATCCCTCACCTGTCTCTTCTTTATCCTCCTAATTGTTTTAACTAGAACATGCAACTGTGAAAATTGTGAACACAACATCTTTGATTGTAAAAGTGACGTAACGCCCTCTTGAGAAATGGTCGCTTGATTGATTGATGCTCACAGAAGGAGTTTTGCATCTGTGAGGAATAATCACGTTGTAAGAAACGGATAGTCTAAGTAATGACACTTTTTTCATCATCGGGGCCCTCTAAGACTGCTTCAAAAGGAGACTCCAGTACCTTTATAAACCATTATTAAATCATCTTACCTCACTTCGTTTTCTCATCTCTCTCTTCTTGTCTGTTATTATTTCTCTATTATCCCTATCTCCTCTTCCTTTAAATTGTATTAGATCTTCCTTGGTGTGCAACATAACGATCCATGGCACCACTTAGAAATGTGATGCCGTTTTATTCCTTCAATTCATCATCCACTCAAGAGCCACTGTTATATGTCCATGATCGATGGGTCTAATCTGCCACCGCTAACTATTTTCACTGATGAGAAGAAGTACAACGGCTAGACTTAGAATTCAACACTTGAGAAAGAATCAACCAAATGACTCTTTCATAACTTATTTAATTACTTTAAAGCCCCACTTACCATTGGTGGATGATTATAACATCCTGAACGGTGTTTGGGATGCTTTAGTTAGAGTCTTTGCATCTTGCTTCAAGTCTCAAATTCGACAACCATGAACAAAGCTACATGCCTTATTTCATGACATGCCATTCCTTTACATGAATGTCCAATCTATCAAGACAATTGCTGATGAATTAGTTGGTCCTAAGATAGCTTGATGAATCAAGATGAGAGGGGTGAATTAATTTCTATTCGTTGTTCCAATTAACTACAATAATTAACCATTTTAACATTCTAATTACATCTCTAAATTAATATTTGAATTAGAGATAATTATGAATAATGAGGACACAAGATTTTAGAGTGATTTGGCCAGACTCTTTTTGCTTATATCAACTTCTAAGAAATACTAGTTTTCCATCATAATACACTCGATTTGACTATGATCAAGAGCCCTTTACATCACTAGACTTCGCAGGTTTGTGATCACTTTATGTAGAACCTTAACCTACTAGTACTAGATTTCTATCTATAGGCACAAAGCCAGTGTCTCAACAACCAATATAGTTGTGTTTCCAACAGACCCACAAATGGTTCAATTTATTTGCATATATTAGTTACAAGAAGAATAAGTGATCAATTTTTAATGGGGTTATCACCACCCTCAAGATGTCATTTGATGTGCTGAGTTATTGAAGTATTTGATAATAGTTGGGGCTCAAGGATGGTGTTTGAGATTCTGATTGACAGGCACAATATGTAATCTTCAAAGAATCCACCACCATCTAAAAGCTGTCTTATTTCTCAATGGGCAAACTGTTCCCTATTATGGTGATGTTAACAGACCCCTTTTTGGCCTGTGTCAAGTCTAATGATTAGGCTTAGGTGAGCCTTAGTGAGCCATGTTCAGCTTTTGGAAAAAAGAGAAAAGTAACTGTAAAAATTTTAAAAATGATAATTCTTTTACACTTTTTTACACTTTTTAAAATGATAAAAGTTTAAAAGAGAAAAGATAATTCTTTTTAAGATCAGTTTGCCGTAGATTATTCACACACATGTATCTATGACACATTTACTCAACTAAAGTAACATGTCTTACTTGATGGGCCAAACTTCTACAGTATTTTACCCTTGGGTGAAAATATTATTTATCTTTTAATGTCAGTAACAATTGTGTGCCTTAATTTCTCTATAACTTATTGTATACAGCTCATCAAGAGATCTTCCTAATTGTTTGTCATATGCCTATGTTTCTACAATCATTTGAGACAATAAATGAAACCATTAACACTTGTCCATATAGTAATCACATATTTATCTGAAATATAATCTCATTTCATTTCTACCTATTTGTCTTTAGTATTTTTATCCACGATGGGCATTGAGTTGGCACAAGATATTCATATAGTCAAGATTCTTAGTTTGACTCCTATATCATGTGAAGTTATAGTAATTTAATCATCATCCTTCCTTTTCCCAGAATTACTTCCCGCATTCAGTATGCTATGGAGTTGTCAGAGTAAATTCCCACATGAGCAGAGCACCTGCGGGGTTGGAAATTGCGCGTCACTTCCAGCGACGGCTATGCAGCCAAGAAGTGTTTAGGTGCGTCCCATTTAGGCTGCTTGTGTCAACAAACAAGTTCACGCACAATCAGTCATTATCAATCTATTATGGGGCTCCCCAATAAAGCACATTTGATAATCTTATATTATTATTATTATTAAAAAGATAATGATATTTTATCCTCAACAATTGGTCCGTGAGACCGATCAATATTAATAACAAGGAAAACGTTTGATCTCCACTCTCTTGCTGTTCATGATTGGGATTTACGGTAAGCCGATCCTGTTCATGATGATCAAGTTGTCTATTGTGCTCTGTATTGGGATTAGCGAGGTCCCCGACAGGGTTTATGGCCTCGCGTTGTGCCGAGGGGACGCCGGTGCCAACAAGTGCCAGGAGTGCCACGCGGGCGTTGCCCGGGACGCCGCAGAGAGATGTCCGGGAAACAAGGGGGCCACCATCTTCTACGAATTCTGCCACCTTCGTTACTCCGACCAGGACTTCTTCGGTTCGTCTACAGGAACAGAATATTACATGAGTAACGCCGAAAACGCCTCGGACGCGCCCACCTTCGAGCGCCTCCTGGGGGATCCCCTGGACAACCTGACCATACGTGCCGTCTCGTCGGAGAGGAGATTCGCTACCGGAAGGGTGGACTTTTCCAACCTTCAGAAGATATACGCGCTTGTCCAGTGTACCAGAGATTTAGCGCCGGAGATCTGCGACGTTTGTCTGAGAGGCGAGATCGGCTATACCCCCGAGTTCTGTAAGTCAAAAAAGGGGGCAAGAGTGACGGGCGGGAGTTGCTACCTCCAGTACGAGGTGGATCCCTTCTTTAATATCTCCGCTGCCACCGACCCGTTGCCGCCTCCTCCCCCTCCGGTACTGCGTCATACGTCTCCGCCGCCCGCCGGGACCCCCGCTGCAGGAGGTAAAGGCTAAGTTTGTTGTATGTTGCTCGCTCTGTTGACGGTTTCTTCATCTAGGACTTTGAAAGAATCTTGCGGAGAAGGTCTCACTTCGACATGAGTTCGGCGGGGGCAACGAGCTACGCGAGAGAGTGAAGGTCTGGGTTGGGGGAGGGGGAGATACGTCGCATAGACACAGGTTTCTTCTTCCTTTTAAACTAGCTGCTGCTTGGGACGGGCTGGTGGTGGGCAATGCTTAGAACTATGCTTTTTTCGGAAAAACAAAATTTAGTGATGAATTTTGTTCTTTTTCCGTTATGGAGTGAAGGAAATTCGCCAGCATTCATTGAGATGGTTCTCGGGGTCATCGCACTCATTCTGACGGGCTCTGTTCGACCTATTTCTTCACATCCGCATGATAATTTCTGTTCTGACGGGCTCAGAACAGCTTCTTTTCGCAGTGAAATGAAACAATATATAAACGTAAACACATGAGTGAAGTGAATCATAAACCTTCCCTTCAATTTTCTGCAGATACAAAGAATAGTTCGATACTAATTGTGGCAATTACAGTTGTGCTCACTGTCTCCCTCGCATCTATGGCTACCATATGGATTTGCATACGGAGAAAAAGACGAACAAAAATAATTGGTAATTTTCCAACCATTTATGCCATAATTTTATCTGAGAATTAATCTAACAGCAAATCGGTTTTTTTAATTTAATTAATTTATTTAAATTTTGAAATATTTATTCCTCTCATTTTGACTTATGCTGAGTTTTTATGAGCGTTATGATCTGCATATAGAAGATGTACGGATGGCGTCAATCCATCTATTTCCTTACAATTTGGTTTAGAAACTTTAAAGCTTGCTACAATGAACTTTTCTGATCAAAACAAGCTTGGTGAAGGAGGGTTTGGTGTTGTCTACAAGGTAAACTATTTGATTAACAATGAGTATTATTGTCAAGTTATTGAAAATTAACCTTATGAGACTGCTGATACGTTCTAATGTAGTTATACTTTTGTTTCTCCTTAGATTATCGTTGGAATTAAAACTAATTTAGGAGATTTATTACCTAAGCAAAGACGATGTCCTCTGCGAATTTTCAGTAATCTTGGGTCTCTCCATTACACATTAATTACTATTCATATCATTTTTGCAGGGTGTGTTGGCAGATCGGCAACTAATAGCAGTGAAGAGAGTTGTAACAAGCTCTGGCCAAGGAATAGGAGAACTTATGAATGAGGTTGCCTTAGTGGCCAAACTCCAACATCGTAATTTGGTAAGATTGATGGGTTATTGCTTGCAAGCGCAAGAGAAGCTACTAGTATACGAATATTTGCCAAATAAAAACCTTGACAGACTTTTATTTGGTATGCTACCAACTCGTGATGCTTTCTATTCTTCCAAATATCATCTCATCAGTTTGATTTATCGTTAGCTACTCACTGTTTATTTGATTGATTTTTGGTAATCTTAATTCAAATGTAGCCTTTCGATGTAGAAAATATGGATCTGATCAGGTTGTGTCTGCATGGTAGATCAATTTAAATCCAAAGAACTAACCTGGGGAGATGAGGGTGAAAATCATCGAAGGAATTGCCAGAGGACTTCTTTATCTTCACGAAGATTCTCGACCGAAGATTGTCCATAGAGATCTTAAAGCTAGCAACATACTGTTGGATGAAGGGGTGAAGCCGAAGATTGCTGATTTCGGCCTTGCAAGGCTATTTGGAAATGAACAAAGTTATGGAAACACAGACCGAATCGCCGGAACACAGTAAATCTACACAACCAGTTTATGAGCAACTTTCCTGTTATTTAATGTTTTTTTGTACAAGTTAAATGGTTTCATATTTTTACATCTTCATATATGCAACTGTCAGTCGACTGAACCCAAGCAGACTTCATCCATGATTAGAAGAGATAAGTCTAGAAAATTAATTTGAGTTGGAGTGTACACTAGATTTGTTTGATATCAGAGGGAGCTTTCCTTGGTTGTGGTAGTCATGAATCAGAAGCAAGAGAAAGGAATCTAGAAAGTGCGGTGAAGAGGTGTAGCATTATGTGACCACAATGGCATCTTCTATATGTTGTCATCCAAGGCTCTATCATGCAATTCGTACCCATTGATAGTACCTTCACGGATGTAAATTTAGACCAAGTATGCAAACTCGTATTAACTTTGTCAAGGATCATGATCAATGTGCATTGGATAACTTTCCATCATCAGAAATGCTAACACATATTCATTTACGGGTGAAAGTGGCTACATGGCACCGGAGTATGTGATGCAAGGGCAGATCTCTACAAAATCAGATGTGTACAGCTTCGGCGTCCTACTTCTGGAAATAGTGACAGGCAAAAGATGTGCCGGCTACTATGGCTCTGATCCTCCAACCGACTTTATAAGCTATGTAAGAGTCATCATAACCTTTCAAACTACGTTCTGTGTATCTACTTTGACGCCCTTCTGTGATGAGCTTCTCGATAATTTTACTATATCCGGCATATTTATATAGATTTGGCGGCATTGGGAGGAAGGGAACCCAATACAATTGCTCGACAGAGGCATATATGAGGGTTGTTCAGCGGAAGAAGTGTTGAGGCGCATCCACATCGGACTACTGTGCGTCCAACGTGACCCACTGGAGCGCCCGAGTATGTCCTTGGTGGTCGTGATGCTCAGCAGTCATTCAACATCTCTCCTGACCATATCCCCCTTTCAATGCTCCACGAGTACCAGTGAAGACCCAGGAGTGACCAGCAGGCCAACAGGCATACCCTCCAGGCCCTTGCCCTTGATAAATGACGCATCGGCGATCAATTCAGACATCACAACATTGGAACCTCGTTAGTCTCTGAGCCATTCCCGCAGCGATCTGCTATTTATTCTTATGATTATTTTTAAGAAGAACGTGTAATTATGAAAATTGAGAGCACAAACTCTTGCCTTGGAAAAGAAACCTGACGTCTTTGAGAAACAGTCTCTTCATGGAGCGGTTCTCACAAAAGAGAAACAGCCCATTTCAAACGGTTCCTTGTAAACCATTTTTCAAGGAAATGAAGGGACCATTTAAGCGTGCATGTTTCAACCCCAGGAGCCTTATAATCTCTTATAAAAGGAAATCCTCAGTACCTTTGTAAACCATCAAATAAATGAGTTCATTTTATTTCCTCTCACTCCAATCTTCTCCCTGTATTTTTCTGTCTTTACATGGTAATAGAGCTTCTTTGCTCAACAACATACTGATCCATGACGAACACCTTCGAATGTCATACGTTTCCTTCAACGCGTAGGGTTATATCCGTTCATATTCAGGGCAGTGCTCTCCACGAGTTTTGATTCCAAAAGGACGTCCGGCTTCTTTGACTTCAGGTCTCCTCTTAATCCTTATCAGCAAAACGCCGTACGTTGCCTGGACGGCTCTGAAGCCCCAGTGCCTATGGCAAGTCTTCACGAGTCTACCCCAGTTGCTCTCTACTGGTAGGGACAGCCGCATCTGGTCAAAAAATCGTGGTCTCCTTGTGTAAAATCCTCTCTCTTCTCTCTCTCTCTCTCTCTTTCTCTCTAGCTCCAATTCGAACGTGTAATATGCTGCCGAGCGAGGAACCTTGCCTGGATACTTCTTCTGTCTGGGAAAGGGCCAAGAATCTGGACAACGATGCATGTATGGCACGATATTGTGACTATAAATAATTGCTTGTTTCTAGATATCAAGGGTCACTAACTGTTAAGGGTGAGGTGGACGGGAGGGACACGAAGGTGCAGTCGGAGCTTCGTTTTGGCCCGGTCACACACGCATGAAGATTCTTCAAATGCCGACTCTCAGCTGTGTGTGTGTGTGTGTGTGTGTGTGTGAGAGAGAGAGAGAGAGAGAGAGAGAGAGGAGAGACAGACAGACAGACAGAGACAGGCAGAGACGGACAGACATAAGATATTTAACTAAAAACATGAGTTTCGTTATGCTGACTGTCTTATAACTATCTTAGGGAGTTATGGTGTATTGGTAGTCAGGCTGGAGGTTAATGTTATCTTCACGCTAATCACTTCCAGGTGGGACGAGGAGAGGCACGCTCATCTGCACTAATTCGCCTATCTTGGTGCTGTGGCGTCTCTCCCTTGTAGTACCTCTAGATGCTGTGCCACATAGCTTGGCCTCGCATGGCTCTGGGCTTGCATCGCCTGAGCTATCCTGCGCTGTGCTGAATTCCATCGTGACATAGTTGTGTCAGAAACCTTCAAATGTCAACGGAAGCTCCCATCAACCTCCTTTGATATTGGCAAAGTCGTCTGCTTGAACCTCTTTCCTTAGTGTGTTGGCTTTCTTGGGTTGGGGCCTTTTCAATTTTAATCTTGGTAGAATAGAAAAAGAAAAAAGTGGTTGCTTTCATATCTTTATATACATCACATGAATATTAACGTTCATCGACTTATTATTACAACACCTAGAAAATTCTGATACGATTTTGATATTATTTTTCAGTGATTTTGTATTTTTTCCATATTTTATAATATGTCAATTCATGGGTCTTTTAATCATATATGAAAGAGTCCAATTTCAAAGTGTCCGCTGTCACCATTCGCCGTCCCATCACTCCCGTCGTTGTCCGCTGTCACCATTCGCCGCCGCTGCAGTTCTCCCTACCTTCGTCGCCGTCATCCGCTAGACCACCCTCTGCTGCCCCATTCGCCGTCGCTGCCGCTCTCCTTGCCTCCGTCGCCGCCATCCGCTACCGCCCAATGAGTCGCCGGCTCATTCTTCAACAGGCACACGGTCAGAGAGCATGGGCCCCGCCTCCGTCTCCGTCTCCGTCCATTCCATCTTTTCCGCCGTTACCGTCGCCTTCCGTTCCTTCGTCAGGCACGACCCGTTCGTGTTCCCCTGTTCCCCTTTTCTCGCCCACTTACCAGGGCTTAAAACTGACGGACATCCGGTCCAGAGTCAACAGCATGGTCAAGGTCAACAGAGGTCAACTTTTCAAAAGTTGGTCCAAGTTTCAGTTCGTGCTCCTCTCCATTTAATCATGCACCTGTACTTTTCATCGTCGACCACGGCGCCGCCGCCCATGCCTTCCCTCCTCGTTTGCTCCCTCATCCTGACGATGAGCTCTCTCTTCCTCCGTTCTGCAGCCGACGATCCCCTCCACAGTAAATGCAACAATGACAGGAACTACACCAATAACAGTACCTACCAGGCCAACCTCGGCCGCCTCATCTCCTCCCTCTCTTTGTCGGCCCCGGCCACCGGCTTCGCCAACGGCACAGCCGGTGAGGTTCCCGACAGGGTTTACGGCCTCGCGATATGCCGAGGGGACGTCAGTGACACCAGGTGCCGGGAATGCCTCGCCGGTGTCCCCCGGGACGCCGCAGCGGGATGTCCTGGAAACAAGGCGGCCACCGTCTTCTACGAGTTATGCCACCTGCGTTACTCCGACCAGGACTTCTTCGGCTCATCCACAGGGGCGGAATACCTGAAGTGGAATAGGGGAAACGTCTCGGACGTCCCCACCTTCGATCGCCTACTGGGAGAGCTCCTGGACAACCTGACCATACGCGCCGCCTCGTCGGAGAGGAGATTCGCCGCCGGGTCGGTGGACTTCACCAACTACGAGAAGGTATACGCGCTTGTCCAGTGCACCAGAGATTTAGCGGCGGAGAGATGCGATGTCTGTCTGCGAAACGAGATCAACTATATTCCCGAGTGCTGTGAGGCAAAAAAGGGGGCGAGAGTGATTGGGGGAAGCTGCTACCTCCGGTACGAGGTGTATCCCTTCTTTAATATCTCCGCTGCCACCGACCCGCCGCCGCCTCGTCCTCCTCCTCCGGTACTGCGTCATACGTCTCCGCCGCCCGCCGGGACCCCCGCTGCAGGAGGTAAAGGCTAGGTTTGTTGCTATATTTCTTCATCTTTTCACCATTTCTGCATCGAGGACTTTCACAGAAACTAAAGAGAGTACTGACTTGGACATGAGTTCGGCTGGGGGGAACCGAGGTACGCGAGAGTGTGAAGGACTGGGTTGGGGGTGGGAGGTGGAGGTGAGCCGCCATAGACCCAGGCTTATTCTTTCTGTTAAGCTAGCTCCTGCTAGGGGTGGGGCTGGTGGCAGTGAATACCAAGAAGGGCGCTGTTCTTTTCTGTGCAACCAAACTTAGTAGTGAATTTTCTTTTCTCTCTGGTATGTACTGAAGAAATTAGCCAACATTCATTGTGGTGGTTCTGGGGTGTCATCACACTCATACTGACAGGATCTGTTCGATCTGTTTTCTTTACTTCCACTTGATAATCTGACAGTTTTTATTTTTAGACAGTACCAAACAAAGAACTTTTGCAGTGAAAGGAAACAATAAATGAAGGTAAAAAATTCACTGAAGTGAATCATAAACTGTCCATACGTTTTTCTTTTTTGCAGATAAAAACGGCAACACTCTGACAATAGTTGTGGCAATTGCTGTCGCACTCATCGCTTGTTTTTCATTTATGGTTACCATATGGATTTGCATACAGAGGAAAAGACGAACAACAGAACTAATTGGTAAGTTGTCAACCGTTTATGTCGTCATTTTATCTTAACAAAACACTAACACCAAATGGGTTAGTAAATTGAAGTGATTTATTAGAAATTTGAAATAATTTTCCGCTGATTTATCAACGTCATGTTCAGCGGTCAAAAGAAGCAAAGATGGTGTCAATCAAGCAGATTCCTTACAGTTTGGTCTAGAAACTCTAAAGATTGCTACGATGAACTTCTCTGATCAAAACAAGCTTGGTGAAGGAGGGTTTGGTGTTGTCTACAAGGTAAACTACTAAGTTAAAATCGTTATTTATTTTGTCATGATATTCAATCTGATCCTTATGAACCTTCTAATAGGTTCTAAGTTAGTTAGTCATACTTATGTTTCTTCTTAGACAACTATTGCAGTCTAGATCTAATCTAGGGCAGTATCATCTCAGCAAAGACCGCATCCTCTGCAAATTTTCATTGATCCAAGGTCTCTACATTGCACATTAACTGGTATTCATATCATTAAAGCAGGGTGTGTTGGAAGATGGGCAAGTAATAGCAGTGAAGAAACTTGTAACAAACTCTGGCCAAGGAATAGGAGAACTTAAGAATGAGGTTGCCCTAGTGGCCAAACTCCAACATCGTAATTTGGTAAGATTGATGGGTTATTGCTTACAAGCGCAAGAGAAGCTATTAGTGTACGAATATCTGCCGAATAAAAGCCTCGAAAAATTTTTATTTGGTATGCTTCTAAACATTGTGATTCTTTCTATTCTTCAAAATACAACATCCCATCAGTTTGATTTATCATTAGCCACTCACTGTTTCCTTTCATGGTAGCGATGATATAAATTTCTGCAGGGTGTGTTTCAAGATGCACATAATGTGTACCTAATCAGGTTAACTTTGCAATGTAGATCCATTTAGATCCAAGGAACTGACCTGGGAGATGAGGCTGAAGATCATTGAAGGAATTGGGCGGGGACTCCTCTATCTTCACGAGGATTCTCGACTAAAGATTGTCCATAGAGATCTTAAAGCTAGCAACATATTGTTGGATGAAAGGATGAATCCGAAGATTGCTGATTTTGGCCTCGCCAGGCTATTTGATAATGAACAAAGTTATGGAAATACAAATCAAATTGCTGGAACACAGTAAGTTTACACAACCAATATATGAACAACTTCCATATTATTTACTGCTTTTGGTACAAGTTTAATGGTTTCATATATTTGCATCCATATACATACAAGTGTCAGCTGACTGAACCCAAGTAGAGTTAGTCCATGGTTAGAAGAGAGAAGTGTAGGAAATGAGCTCAATTTAGGGTGTATACTAGAGTAGTTCGATATCAGAGGGAGCTCTCCTTTGTTGTGGTAGCTATGAAACAGAAGCGAGAGAAGGGTATCTGCATAGGTGTTGTGAAGAAGAGTAGCATTGCGTGTACGAGAGAGGCATCTTCCATGCATTTCATACCATCTGACACTACCCTCACGAATGTAAACAACTGTTGGAGCCGCTGGCAGTCGTAGACTGCCAGAAGCGCCACCGGTGGTGAGAGAGCCATCGGCTTGTGAACGAGGAGAGAGAAGAGGAAAGGGCAAATAGAATAGACTAATAGTATTTATGCCTGCCCGATAAGAGTGATCAGATCCTGTTTGGCGTAAGTGAAACCGATTAACCGGATGCGACTCTCCCTTGAATGGAAGTATATAAATACAAAAGATAAGCGAGTTATTACACAAATAAAAGAGGATTACGGTAAATGTGTAATCTCTCATTCTCCGACAATAACTGTGTGAAATCATATTAACTTTGTCAAAGATCATGATCAATGTGCATTGGATAACTTTCCATCATCAGAAATGCTAAAACATGTTCATTTACTGGTGAAAGTGGCTACATGGCACCGGAGTACGTGATGCAAGGGCAGATCTCTACAAAATCAGATGTGTACAGCTTCGGCGTCCTACTTCTGGAAATAGTGACAGGCAAAAGATGTGCCGGCTACTATGGCTCTGATCCTCCAACCGACCTTATAAGCTATGTAAGAGTCATCATAACCTTTCAAACTACGTTCTGTGTATCTACTTTGACGCCCTTCTGTGATGAGCTTCTCGATAATTTTACTATATCCGGCATATTTATATAGATTTGGCGGCATTGGGAGGAAGGGAACCCAATACAATTGCTCGACAGAGGCATATATGAGGGTTGTTCAGCGGAAGAAGTGTTGAGGCGCATCCACATCGGACTACTGTGCGTCCAACGTGACCCACTGGAGCGCCCGAGTATGTCCTTGGTGGTCGTGATGCTCAGCAGTCACTCAACATCTCTCCCGACCATATCCCCCTTTCCATGCTTCACCGATGTGAGCACGAGTACCAGTGAAGACCCAGGAGTGACCAGCAGGCCAACAGGCATACCCTCCATGCCCTTGCCCTTGATAAATGACGCATTGGCGATCAATTCAGACATCACAACATTGGAACCTCGCTAGTCTCTGAGCCATTCCCTTGGGATTCTACTATCTATTCTCATTGTTTTTAACAAGCAGCCGTAGTTGTGAGAATTGTGACCACAGAACTACTGATTTTAAAATCATGGGAGTAAGAAACGAGGTCCCTTTGCTTACTGGTTCTCACAGAAATCGACTGTACGTTTATGGACACCTGTTTCATCATTGGGGCCCTCTGAGACTCCTATAAAAGGAGACACTAAGTACCTTTACATTGCAACAATCGATAGTGTTCATTTTCTTTCATCATTTTTTTTCCTTACTCATCTCTCTGTTCCGCTCTCTTGTTATTTCTCTCTTATTCCTATCTTCTCTTTCTTTACGTGCTATTAGAGCTTGTTCGAAAGCATACCGATCCATGATAGACCCCCTAAGTATGAGGTTTTGTTCCTTCTAGTTGCCATAGTACAACTATCTCATATGGATTAAATTCATTCCTCTATTCAAGAGCCATGGTTGTGTGTTCATGGCCAATAGCTCCGATCTGCCACCTCTAAATATTTTCACTAATGAGAAGAAGCCCACTGGCTAAACTTAGAGGTCAATATGGAGCATTTAAAGATGTTTGGAATGCTTTAGTTAGAATCTTAGTATCTTGCTTCAAGCCTCGGATTCTACAACTATGCACAAAGCTACATGTCTTGTGTAATGAGATGCCATCCATTTACGTGCATGACATGTCTATCAAGGCAATTGCTGATGAACTTTGTGGTTCGCAGATGTCCTGATGAATCAAGAAGGTAGAGGGGTGATTGATTTCTAACTTTTATATAACTAAATATAATATTAATTTTTTTATTTTAAGTATTAATATTTTAATTACATTCATAAATTAACATATAAATATGAGATATGTGTTCACTGCGACATGAGTTCAGCTAGGGGTTGACGAGGTATGCGAGAGTGTGAAGGACTACTGGGTGGTTGGGGGTAGGTGGAGGTACACCGCATAGCCCTATGTTTCCTCTTCCTTTTAAACTAGCTGCTGCTTGAGATGGGACTGTTAATGAGAAATCCAAGAACGATGCAATATTTTTGGGTACCAAGTTTTAGGTACTGATTTTGTTTTTTTATTTTAGGTTGACTGAGGTTCTCAGGTGTCATCATACTCATAGTTGTAATGGTGCCCTGGTCAACCACTTATTTGGTAGAGGTCCGTTCAAAACCAATCCATCCCCTTCAGAAAGCAGGTATGAAAGGGGACTCAGGGAGAGAGAGAAATAGAAATATCTCTCTCTTTTTGTGGCTATGCCTAAAGCCTAATTAACTCCATTTACCATAATATTTTGCTTCTCATTATTAGTTGACACCCTCCTTCTACGTTGGTGGTGATGATGTGTGTTTATCCTCTTCAGACCACATTAAATTCAAAGCATCTTTATTTCAGCCATTTATCCTTCTCTCTCTTTCTGCTGCATAAAATCATGCCCCATTGCAGGCCCATCAGATCGTAGTAATCTGGTCTCCTTCCTAACAACACTCATATGACGGGCTTTGTTTGATATTAGTCTTTACTTTCACATCATGATTTCTATTTAAATTTTTATACACTACCCAAAAAACCTTATCTGCAGTGAAGTACAAAGATAAATAAAAGTTTAAAATTCATTGAAGTAAATCATAAATCGTCCATTCATTCCTTTTCAGATAAAAAAACCAACACTGTGATGATAGTTGCGACAATCGCTGCTACGCTCATTGTTTCGTTTGCATTTATGGCTATGATATGGATTTTCATACAGAGGACAAGACAAGCAGAACTACTTGGTAGGTTGTGAACCATTTGTGCCATCATTTTTAAACTAACCTGACACCGAATGGGTTTTTATATTTATGTGATTTATTTGAAATCTGAAATATTTCTCCACTGATTTATAACCATGGTCAGTAGTTGGAAGAAACAAAGATGGTTTTACTCAAGTTGATTCCTTACAACTTAGTTTAGAAACTGTAAAGCTTCGATACAATGAACTTATCTGAACAAAAAAAAGCCTGGTGGAGGGTGGGTTTGGTGGTCTACTAGATAAACTACAAAATAAAAAATGATTACTTATTGTCAAGTTATCGAACTTGAACCTTATGAAAATTCTATTATGTTCTTAGGTAGCTATATTTTTTAGTACCTCCTTAGACTATCACTGCAATTTAGATATAATTTAGGGATTACCATCTCAGTTAAGACCATATTATCGGCAAATTTTCATTGTTCATGGATCTCTACATTACATTATAATTATCACATCAATTTTTCAGGGAGTTGGCAGATGGCCAACTAATAGTAGTGAAAAGATTACAAACAAACTCTGGCCAAGGAATGGGAAAACTTAAGAATGAGGCTCCTTAGTGGCCAAACTCCAAAATTGCAATTTGGTAAGATTGATGAGTTATTGCTTGCAAGCGCAAGAGATGTTAGTATATGAAAATCTGCCAAAAAAAGCCTCAACAAATTTTCATTTCTTATGCTTCTAACTCATCATGCTTTCCATTATTCCCAATATCATCCCATCGGTTTGTTTCATCATTATCTATGGACTACTTATTTCATTGGTTTTCAAGAATCTTAAATTAAGTAGTAGCATCTAAAGACGTATATAATGTGGATCTAATCAGCCTGTGTTTGAATGGTAGATCCATTTAGATCCAAGGAGCTTATTTGGGAGATGAGGGCGAAAATCATGCAAGAAATTTCTGAGGGGACTCTATCTTCATGAGGATTCTCGACTGAAGATTGTTCATTGAGATCTTAAAGCTAGTAACATATTATTGGATGAAGGGATGAATCCAAAGATTACTGATTTTGTCCTTGCGTGGTTATTTGGAAATGAACAAAGTTATGGAAACACAAACCGAATCGCCAGAACATAGTAAGTCTGAACAACCAATACTTAATGTTTTCATAACTTTAGACAAATAAATAAATATATGTACAACTATCAGCAGACTGAATCCAAGTAGAGTTAGTCCACTCTTACAAGAGATAAGTTTAGAAAATGAGCTCAAGTTTGACCGTATGCTAAAGTAGTTAGATATTAGAGGGAGCTTTCCTTGGTTGTGGTAGTCGTGAATCAGAAGTGAGAGAAGCGCGTCTGCAAAGTGCAGTGAAGAGTTGCATTGTGTACCAGACAACGCCGTCTGTGCATAGCCATACAAGGATTTTTTTGTCGTTTCATACCCACTGATAGTACCTCTACGGATGTAGATTTAGACCATGTTTGCAAAATCATGTTAAATTTGTCGAAGAGTATAATCGATGTGCATTTCATAACTACCAATCATCGGAAAACTTGAAACACGTTATCTACTGGTGAAAGCGGCTACATGGCACTGAAGTATGTGATGCGCGGGCAGATCTCTACAAAATCAGGTGCATAGCGTCGGCGTCCTACTTATGGAAATAGTAGCGGGCAGAAAACGCGCTGGCAACTATGGCCCTAATCTTCCAACCGACCTTATAAGCTATGTCAGAATATCTGAACCTTTGAAGCTACGTTCTGTGTATCTACTTTGACGCCCTTCAGTGATGAACTTCTCCATCACTTTACTGTATCTGGCATATTTCTATAGATTTGGTGGCATTGGAGGATGGTTGTTCAGCGGAAGAAGTGTTGAGGCGCATCCACATCGAACTACTCTGCGTCCAAGTATGTCCTTGGTGGTCCTGATGCTCAGCAGCTACTCGACTTGTCTCTCGAGCGTATCTCCCCTTCCATGCTTCACCGATGGAGGCACGAGTGCCAGTGGGGACCCAAGAGTGACAGCAGGCCAATGGGCGTGCTCCATGACCTGGTCCCTGAGAAATGACGCATCGGCCATCAAGACCCTACCACGTTGAACCGTCGCTAGTCTCCGAGCCTTTCCATCGGCGATCTCAAACATGAATAATCCCTTCGTTGATTAGTTCTCACGGAATGATGTGACATCCGTGAGGAGTAGTCACTTTTCGTAGATCGGATCTCACGGAATGATATGCCGTCCGTGATTGGCAGTGACTTCGTAAGAAATGGTTTATTTGGGGACACACTGCTCGGGAGGAGGAGGGCGGCGTTTCAGGGTCCTTTCTGGTCTCTCTAGTTCTCATCCTCCTCGCTGACACCGTCTCCTCCTCCGGCCATGGCTATCAGTGGGCAGCTTCTCGGGGCGTCCTACAGGCTTGGATTGAAGGGTTTTCTCCGATCACATCTCTGAGGACATGTCCATGCTCTCTGTCTCTCTCTCTCTCTCTGCGCCTCAGATTGGTCCATATTTCTGGTGGGTCGAGCATATTCATTACTGAAACCTTATGCTCTATGTATTGATTCTTATAAGCTCCAAGGATCTTTCTTTCAAATTTACCCTTGAATATCGAACTCCCTTAATTTTTTTCCTTCCAAATTATTCATGTTCCTTCTTCGAACAGTGTCAATGGTAACCCAAAATCATGAACACCTAGGTGGCGTCCCCTCCGAATTATTTTCTCATTTTGATCATGAACTATCATATTTCATTTCGACTCATTCGACACTCTAACTACTACTTTATTTAAGCTAGACGATGTTTCCTCGCTTGTGCTTCTTAGCTTGTAGTAGTAGCGACTTCCACCTTACAACTTTCTACTTCCCTGAAGTCTCCATGTTCCCACGGAGACAGGCGGCTTGACGTTGAGAGGGAGCTTTTAGTCAATTTTTGTCAACTTGATGGGCATCTCTCTCAATTGCGGAAACTGCACGGCGGCCAGTCGACATCTAGTTCATATACAAGGGCACCCGTGTGGGCCACGCGAAGGGGTCATTTCCATGGGGGATTAAGTCAAACATAACGACCATTAATTTTAAAAATATAAATGTCGCGTCGTTGATGGGTCTCCGTCACTGTCCGAAGATCTTTCTCGTCTCCATTTAATCATGCAACTGTGCTTCTCATCCCACCTCTCTCTTCTTCGGCCGAGCACGGCGCCGCCGCCCATAGCTTTCCTCCTGTGCTTCTCTTCCTGATGGTGTGTTCAC